ATCCAACTCGATTAGGCTGTTAGGAGTCTGGGCTGTGATGTGTCTGCCTCATACAGCCCCGATGCAGCCCCCAGGTCCCAGACAGTCGGAGCTGGGGAGACCACACAGTGCCAAATAAATATGTCTGCCTTCCGCTTGGCTTTCTTTACTGAAGCAACTGCAGGGGAAAGCCCCTCCCACTCCAGCATCTAGGGGCTCCCCTACAATGCTCTGTGCCCTGGCTGACTTTGGGGTGACTACCTGTGCACTGCAGGAGTCACTGTGCTGCTGGAGGTCCAAGCCTCGTGGCCCTGTCCTGTGACGGCGGCCCAGCCCATGGAGGCTGAGGGAGCCCAGGAAGGCCTGCTCCCTCCCAGCAGGTCTGTCCTGGCTTCGGCTCTCTTGTGGAAGGTCACAGCCGGTGACTCATTAGCTGTAGGGGAACCTCTGTATTAGCACAAATCCGGCTCTCCTCCCAGGAGACGATTTGAAAAGCGGCACTCACGGCCAACTTCAAAGTCCGTTCCAGCCCATCTTTCCTGTTCCATTTACAGCCCGGTGTTGGCCAGGACTGAACTGGCTAATTCAGAGCCACAGCTCCGATTCCCGAAACAAGTTTCCACCGAGGTCTCCTCGCATTCCTCAGCTTCAAACACTCCATAAAGCTTTGGGAACCGAAATATTTTATTTTTTCTTTTGTGAAGTAGGTCGTTTTGAGTGTGAAGTCCCGTGTTTTCCCCTTTTTTCCTTTGCCCCAGAAGCCCTGTGGTTGAAGAGTTATGGGCGTAGAACCTGTTCGTGTGACTGTGCCGTTATTCAAGTGGAAGAGTGATTTCAGGGAGAAAGGACATAGAAGTCTGAGCATTACTGACACATCAGGCTTTTAGTTGGTCCAAGTTCAGGGACCTGGCTGACGACAGAAAATAAACTCAACCAGATGCTTAATTGTGCTGATAAGTCATCAGCTCCACCTGAGGGTCTTGCCTTTTGCTCCTGGCTCATCCGGCACACAGGTGTCCCCTTGTCACTGATCTGCCTGTTGTCGGTGACATAGAACCAACCCAGAGTGGCCCCATCTCCTTAGTCCCGACTATGGAATTCCCTGCAGTTCCATTCGCCTTGGGAAATGTCAGTGTTTACTGGGAAAGCCGAGAAAGCCACCCAGATTGTGTGTAGAACAGTGTCACTCGGTTGAAATTCTCTTTCTGCCAGACCCCAGCCCAGTTTTACTCCGTTTGCTCCTGGAGTGACCTGTCATCTCCCCACTCCTGATGTTCCCGGAGCTTTCGTGGTGTAAGACTTTACAAGGCGGCTTCTCCACAGTGTCCCCGAAGACTGTCTCTGTGTTGTCCACCTGTTGGCCACTCACCCTCTTCACCGCACATGGGGATTCAGGCCGGAGAAAAGCCTGTGCTTTCCTATTTGGGCCTCTACTTTTTAAAGACCATCTCTGAGCTGCCCCTTTGACCAGAGACCTCACTGCAGGAGGAGGGCCTTCCCTCCTGAGCCCGAATCAGCCGGCCTGTTGCCTCCCGCAGTCCTGGGGAGCTGGAGGAGCCAGGGCAGGGCCTGGTTGATTCCTCTGTAGCTGCTCTCCTCGCTGGGGCACATGTGATCATTCATTCACGTTGACGTGCGAGGCCCAAGAGCGAGTGCTGGCGATGGTAGAGCCACCTTATTGAAATAGCATGTTAGCATTTAAACAATATTAATACTATTTGACTCATTAAATATACAAAGGCCAGTTAAAGTGCTTCCATGTGTGTGCTGTTAGTTCTGGCGGGCGACTCCTCAGATGGCTTTATGTGGTTTCAGACAACATTTTAGCACATTCTTAAAATACCCACAAAAGCCTTTATGTAAAAACTCGTAAATGTGAGCCACATAAAAATTATTTTTTTTTCCTGTTTCATGTCATGATGATCAAAGTACGGCAGGTAAAAATAAATTCTCAAAAACTTGTTGAGGTCCCTCTTTAATTAATGCTTCACGTGAGAGCAGAGCCATAACATGTAACGGGGGGCTGACTGTGTGCCCTGCAGTCGCCTCACCATTGACTGCACAGCGGTCCTGACAGCACTTGTCGGAGAAGCAGGTCTTTCTGGGCGACTCTGAACCGGCCCTTCCTTCCCCCGGCCCCTGCTCTCGCTGTCCTGGAACCTCAGGTTGAGACTTGCCGCTCACAGCCACTCACATCCCCGGAGATCCCTTTTGGTGGGTGGAATGCAAGTCCGTTCTTGAATTGTTGTGGTGTCGGGGCCATAACTGCGGGTTTCGGCACGTCCGCCCCGATGGGGAACGCCCAATGGGAGAGGGGCAGGCACAGTGAGCTCCAAGCGTCATTTCTGTATTAAAAGTCAAATGGACTGTAAATTAGGATTCTACCCAATGGAATACGATCCCAGCTCTTAAAAACAATTATGGAGATCATGTGGCTCCATGGAGAAGCACCGAGGGTTCCATGCCAAGTGAGGAGAACCCAGCTCAGTGCACTCCCACTGCCGGGCTTTTATGGTTACATAAAAATTACGCATCTGGACAAAGACTGGAAGGGAATTGGGAAAAATCAGATTTATGGGATAAGTTGATATATGTTACTGTGGGCTAATTTTTAAATTTCCTTTTTTTATAATGTCGCAATAAATTTTTTTACTTTGGGGAAACAGTAAGCCACATGGAGGTCAGAGTTGAGGTTGCATTTTTGCCTCCTTTGTGTCCAGGACTTTGAAATGTTGGGCCTGGTCAGCATGGAGCTGAGCAAGCCAAGAAGAAGCTGCCCAGTGTGGGAGCTGGGCCATGGGAGGGACGCTGGACTGGAAACAGCCAGTTCCACCTTATAAAACATTCACGCCGCTGTTTTATTTTTCTAGAAGAAAACAAATCTGAGGGATGAGAGCGAGTGGGGTCAACTGTAGGCCACTTGGCCATTTGGACTGGTTGCCAGGTGGTGTCGCCAGGGCTATCAAGCCGCCACGATCGCCCCTGATTCCCTCAGGCCTGCCTGCCCCGCTCTCCCCTCCTCCCAGCACTCAGGGCGGGAGCCTTGGACAAGAACAACACCAGTCTCTGGTGCAGAGGATGGGGCTGTGAGCTGTGAGGGGGCGGAAGGATGGAAATGCCCACTGGGCTTCGAGCCTTCATGCCAGGATGGCCAACGGAAAGAAGGAATTATCGGCCTGTCATTTTTGCCAGCACAGGAAGAGCCACAGTTTTTCAAGTTGTTGGTTTTTCCTTTTGATGTGGGGCTGCTCTCCCTACCAGCAGACTGAAAGGGAAAACGGGGTGGGAGAACCCATCCATCTGTCACCAATAGGACGGCGCTCACAGGTCTGCTCCTCTCCTTCAGTGGAGTTGGAGTGCCTCCTAGTGAACTCGGAGCCAAGGGAGCCACCAAAATCCAGGAGAACAAGCCAGAAAGGCTCCCGGAGGCCCTGCTGCAAGCTCACCTGAGCATGAGGGCTCAGCTAAGCCGTGACAGAGACATCTCCACAAGTCCCTGTGCGTGCAGCTCTCTGCAGGGCTGGTCCTAGACCAGAGCCCTTGTCTGCTTCCCCTCCCTCCGTCCTAGGGAGGGAGGGTTGTGTGTGAGTGTTTGGTTTGAAAGAGAATTGGAACAAGAGAATCAACCTTCCTGAGTGAGGTCCCTGAGGTTACTTGGGATGGTACTGAGCTCTGGGCCCCCATAGGTGTGTGTGTCTGTCTGTTCCCCCCATAGTACTACACTTCTCCTTTTCTGGAGCCAAGTCCCTTCCTGCCCTCCATGGTTTGACTGACATGTAGCCTGGGGCTGGCATCTCCGGAGCCCTGGCAGGCCTGCCCTCACCTGCCTCCATGAGGTGCTGGGAGTGGCAGAGTTGTGAATGTCATTTGACAGCTTAATCACAGTGGATGGTGGGATGGAGCAGTGGGGACAGGATGTGGTGGTGGCGGCAGCCGCGGGCGGGGCCCAGTCTGCCTGAGGAATCCTGGCGGGGAGGACCCTTGGGCGCAGTCAGAGGGAGAGGTTACACTGAGCCACCGCCCCTACAGCTCAGGCTGGAGGCTGTGTTCTGTGAGGTAGGGCTACTTCCTTGGTCCCAGTGTTCCCCATCACACTCTGCTATATGTCACGTACTGACCTCTGCACAAAAGTAAAAAGAATTTGCCTATTTCTTCACCCTCATCCTCTTAAGTATTAACATTCACAGACGTGTTTACTCTTAGTACTTGTTTTTGTTATTAAAATTAATAGTAATTGTTTTTATGTCTCAGCAGTCCTAAGGCCCAGTCCATACAGTTGGTGCCTGGTAGCCCTAATAAGTAGTTTTTGGGATATGGGCATGAACGGAGCTGGTAACTTGAGGGGTTAGGGCTGGGACCCACGCCTGTCTGATCCGGGCCCATGCTCCCTGCAGCCACACTGCCTGCTCGCTGTGCACATCTGAGGTCTGCTCACGTCTGAGGTTGCAGTCCCAGGATGTGCCTGCCACACCATTGAAAGGGGGTTAACGCGTCAGAGAGGCCACAGACTTTCTGGTAAAGAACGTGCTAGCCACCAGCTGAGACTCAGCAGAATCTGGGGTGCAGCACATCAGCAGTGATCATCCACCCGTGCTTTCTGAACTCCTCAGTCTGTACTCACAGCAGCCTGGCTCCGTCCCGGCGCTGACTGCGGTCTAGCCTGGTTTCCTTTTCTCCACTGGCCTTTTCTTTCCCTCGTGCATTTGATCTTAATTAGGAAGTTTTCCATATTGGCTCAGGCCTGAGGAGGGAGCTCCATCCCATGCTACCCCTTCAGTCCTGGTTAGCGAGCTGCAGCAAGTTGTTCTTTCTGTGATCCCTAAAGGATACTTCAATCCCATCCCCGACCAGCGGTTGTTCAAGACATGTACACAAACCTAGAACCATTGCAGCGAGGATCCTTAATTCCAGATAGACACAGTGAACCTTTCTGGATGGCACCCCTGGGACTTGGGCTGGTGGCTGTAATTTGTCATTTGACAAGCTGGCATCTAATGGGCACATGGGCCTGTTTCCTGCAGGTATTTTGAAGGCGGCGTCTCATCTGTCTACCTCTGGGATCTGGATCATGGCTTTGCTGGAGTGATCCTCATAAAGAAGGCTGGAGACGGATCAAAGAAGATCAAAGGCTGCTGGGATTCCATCCACGTGGTGGAAGTGCAGGTACAGCTCCCCGGCAGCTGGCGGCCCAGGGCCTTGCAGAGACGGGTGCCACGCCCAGCAGCGCAGCCCGTACTCTAGCAGATGCTTCTTGAAGAGGGGAACTGCAATACCTAAACCTGTTAATTCCTAGAAGTGCCCGAAGCCATTTGGATAAAGATAAGTCAAGATAGCAGTAGTCATTGATGGTAAAGATCCCAGAAGAACTGAATATACCCAGTGCAGATTCGGTCTTTTAAAAGCCACTTGGGATTGGGGAAGATAGTGTGGAGGCAGTGTCTCAGGAAGGGGCATGTTAGGATGACCACAGGCTCCTCAGCCAGGGCTGTGTGCAAGGTTCTGATCTCTGTCTTGTCCCCCAGGAGAAGTCCAGTGGCCGCACCGCCCATTACAAGCTGACCTCTACGGTGATGCTGTGGCTGCAAACCAACAAATCCGGCTCTGGCACCATGAACCTTGGAGGCAGCCTCACCAGACAGGTAGAGTTGCCCTGGCCACAGGTGCCAGCTCAGAGCCGGCTGTACATGAGGATGGGTGAGAAGTTGTCCCCACAGAGGTCCTAGGCCCGCCCCTGCCTGACATGGTCTCCCCGTACACCTTCAGTGATTCCGTCACAGGAGGTGTTCTCTTCGGGTCAGGGTGTTTCCATTCAAGTGTTCCTGTGATGTTTAGGACACACCTAGCTGCCGGTAACATTTTAGAATGGGTTCATTTCTTAGTTGTGATTTAGGTCATGTATTAGACTCCTGGTGGCAAGTGACAGAAAGAAAACTCTGACTTAAGCAAAAAATGGAAACGAGTCAACTCAAATAACTGAGCATTCAGGTTTCATTCCAGCACTGTTGGGTCTAGGACGCAAATGATGTTGCCAAGACTACATCCCTGCATGTGATGGCTCGGCAGAATAGGTCTGCATACCCCAGATGGGTCTCTCTGGCCCGGTCATGATTGCTGGTCCATCCAGAATCATGGCCAGACTTGGATTGCTTGAGTATCCTTGGTATTGTAGATGGGAAAGGAGTGTTGATTTCCTAGAATACATGGAGGGGGGATGGATGTGGGCAGGCAGCAGACATCGGACACTGGTGGGAATGTGCTTTCTGCAGAGAGAACCAAGGGACACTATTGTGTAGATGGCATAGGCAGTCTGGGAATTACAGCAGAGAGTCGACCCAGATAGTTGGCAACAGGCTGCTGGGGACAGTAATCAGGGTCCCTCAAAAGGAGAGAAATGGCAGAAATAAAAGCCTAAAAGGATCCAAAAGAGTGAGTGCCTGCTGTAAGCTCTGAGTGGGTTTACTGGACTCCCCATTGGTAGTGATCACACGCACACAATCTTATAAAATAGTAATATGCAAATTGACTACCTCTGCTACACCCACAAGCTACACCCACCAGCCAATCAGGAGCAAGTATGCAAATTAACCCAACCAAGATGGCTGCAGCCACAGAGCAAGCAGAAGGCTTGGGTTTCCCCAGCAATGGAGGAAGCCAAGCTTCCTGCACACCCTGGCCAGCCCTGGCCTCCACTCAAGGCTACAAATTTTCAATTATAGAAGATAAATAAATCCCAGATACCAGGGACTCCATTTGGGTCACGGGGGGTGGGGGGGGGGTCATGGCCTGCCTGAAAACCACCACAGACCCCTCGCCCAGGCCACCCCACGCTTTAAGGGAACCCCCACCCTGATTCTGGACACCCTTCAGGGCAAACCAGCTGACCCCCACCTGTGTACAAGGCCTCTATCCTATCTAATAAAAGAATGATATGCAAATTGACCATCACTCCAACACACAAGATGGCTGTTCCCATATGGATACAAGATGACCACCACAAGATGGCCAGCAGGGGAGGGCAGTTGGGAGGGATCAGGCCAGCAGGGGAAGGCAGTTGGAGTGATCAGGCCTGCAAGGGAGCACAGTTAGGGGTGACCAGGACAGCAGAGGAGGGAAGTTGGGGGCGACTGGGCCTGCAGGGAAGAGCACTTGTGGGGGACCTAGGCCTGCAAGGGAGAGCAGTTTTGTGTGTGTGAGTGGGGGGGGGGGGGGGGACCAGGCCTGCAGGGGAGTGGTTAGGGGGTGATCAGGCTGGCAGCAGAAGTTGTTAGGGGCAATCAGGCAGGTGAGCAGTTGGGAGCCAGCAGTTCTGGATTGTGAGAGGGATAATTGACTGCCTGTTTAGGCCTGGTTCTATCAGGATTGGGCCTATACAGGCAATCAGATATCCTTCAAGGGATCCCAGATTGGAGAGGGTGCAGATTGGGCTGAGGGACACACACCTCTGCATGAATTTTGTGCACCGGGCCTCTAGTGTGTGTGTGTGTGTGTGTGTGTGTGTGTGTGTGTGTATATATATATATATATATATATATATATATATATATATATATTTCTTTCAATAAGATAATTATACTTTAATAGCCATCAATAGGAAACATATATGCCAGAAAGGATATTTTTAGTAACTCTTTAAGTGAATTTGTATTTTAGTCTCAAAAGCATCTTCATGTGTTTAAAAAATCAAGTGCAAGGCAAATGTGTTGTCAGCCAGCCTGCCTGGGATGCTTATTGGAGCCTCCATGCAAAACCTCCGCTGCCTCTGTTGTGTCACAGGGCCTGAAGCCACAAGGGGTCTTGGGAGTCCCCTGCTCTGCCTCTGGGCAGGGTTGTCGGCGTGCCATCTCAGAACCAAGGCTGGTGCTCCCTGGGGCAGAGCCCATCCTTTTGCAGGGAAATGGGCCCTGTCTTCCAGGAACCGTTGGCTGGGGAGGAGTGGCCGAACCCCCAGGCAGCCAGCTCCACCACAGCCTGCCTGTCCCACACCCTGCCACCTGGGCAATGGTGGAAAATGCTAAATTTGTATCCGGAGACTGTTTCCTGCATCACTTACCGCTCTGAACTGTTTATAATTCCACCCGGTTTACAGTGACCTGGACAAATATTTAATCCTCAGTCTTCCTAATAGCTTAAATCAGAGCTGTCAACCCATGGCCAGGGCCTGGTTCCGGCTTGCCGTGGCAGTGCCTCCTGCCAAGCCAAACACAAGCCTGATGAGTGGCTGTCCTCAGCACACCGGTCCGGGCCACGGCCTTGTTTGGATTGCCTGTGCTCTTGGGCTTTAATGAGGAAATTCATGCTTCTGTCATCATCCTAACGGCCGGTCACATAACTCATCTGAGGTGCATTAAAGCTGGGGCTGGTTTCCAATGTAAGTAACTCGAAAAGGAGGGGCAGGGAAGCAGCGAGAGAGACGAGAATAAGTTAATGATGCGCAGCTTCTGAGCAAACGGGAAATGCGGGCTGCGGGTTAGCCATGTGTCCCAGATGGGCCTTGGAGAAATGGCGTGGTTGCCTTGGATAGGAGATGAAGGGGTTCCAGTGATGAGGAGGGAACATGCACAGTTATGCAAGGGCTGCCTCCTTGGTTAAGACTGTAAGCAAGGTAATTACCATTTTCATTTCACAGGTGAGGAGACTGAGGTTCAAACTGTTAAGTGATTTTCCCATGTGGTGGTTTATCTAGTAGGAGGCAGTCAGGATTGAACCCAGTTTTGTCCGCCTAGAAAAAAAAAAAAGACTACTTTCTACCACACTACCTTTTTTTGCTACTAATCTGTCCACTGTGCTTGGCCTTCGGTTGATTGCTCAGTGAAGGTTTGCGCAGAAATGGGTTGAGCAGTCTGCTCAGTGTAGACAGGACACTACTTTGTGGGTGCCCGTGGCATTCTGTTGGCAGCCCCAGAAACGGACCCCGAGAGTGGGGCCAGAGCTGTGGGGTCCCGTGCAGGGCTCTGAGCTCCCTGGGAGTGTGCTTAGCCCTGTGGGTGCCGCCTCCAGTGGAGTCTCCGTAGGAAATAAGTTGAGCAGATGAGACACAGTCATCACCAGGGGTAGTGAGAAGGGTTTTTACATTTTTAGGTAAGGAGTGATCTGTGTTTTCCAAAGACGGTTCTGCTGGCTGACACGGGTGGTTAGCAGCAGGAGGAGGCTCTTTAGGTTGTCCAGGAGAGATGACCAGGGCCTGGATGGGGTCAGCTTCAGGGGGCCTGGAGGGGACAAGCCTGTGGCCAGGAGTCACTGAAGGAAGTGGTGTCAGCCTCAAGGTGAGAAATAGGGGCAAAGGCAGGGGGAGTAGAGAAAGGAGGAGGGCAGGTCAGGAGAGCTCGGGGTAGAGTGTTTGAGGCGCAGTGCTCCCAGGATGTGGGCCATGGGGATCAGATGGAGAGTCTTCCTCACGCCAGTCCCTCCATTAAGCCCTCTGTGCAGTTTCCCAGGCCTCGGCTTTTCCTCCGGAAACGAGGCCTCATTGCAGCCACACACTCAGTCTCACACCGTGTGAATCAGGAAAGACACCCACCCCTGAGACGGAGAGGCCACTGAGCAGCAGCGCAGGGCACCTGAGCTTCGGTAGCAACACAGCCTGAGTCTCCCTCCTCTGGGCATGGTGCCCAGCACCCCCTCGCTTTCCTGCTTCCCATGCCCCGTCTTGAGAAGGGCTGTGGCATAGACTCAGTGCGGCTCTCTTCAGCATCCCCCGCTCCCCCGGGCATTGCAGGCCTTGCCCAGTCCTTGCTTTCTCAGTTCAGATGCCTTATGGGAGTGCAGTGAATGAGATGGAAAGTGCTCTCACCGACTTGCTTTCTTTAAATTGTTGGTCAATTTAACAATAACATGTACTTGAGGCCTAACCGGTTTGGCTCAGTGGATAGAGCGCCGGCCTGCGGACTGAAGGGGTCCCAGGTTCGATTCCAGGCAAGGGCATGTACCTTAGTTGCGGGCACATCCCCAATAGGTAGTGTGCAGGAGGCAGCTGATTGATACTGCTCTCTGATCAATGTTTCTCTCAATCTCTCTCTCTTCCTCTTTGTAAAAAACCAATAAAACATATTTTTAAAAAATAACATGTACTTGAGCTGCATTTCACACCTGGTCATGCCATACCCCAGCAGGCTCAGACCAAGTGCACCCCAGGCTGAGCTCCTTCCATACTCCGTCTCCCCGTCTCTGGCCTTTTCCCCACCGCTGCCCCCAACAAAAAATGTCTTTTAGGGATGTCAGCTGGAAAGTGAGGCAGATTAAGTATTTGGCAAATCCCTGCAGCTGTGGCAGGAAAGTGAGCAGCAGTCCTTAGGGAAGCTCATCACAGCCAGATGGTGCCATCCTGCCAGGCAAGGAGGGCAGAAGGTGCCCTCTGGCAGACTGCCACCTAGGCCCCACGGGGAAGGCTTGCACGCCAGGTACCGACCTGCTGAAAAGGAAGTTGTACTAAGAGGTCACTTGGCGTGACAGCTGGAGATGTGGGAAAGAGGCAAGACCATAAATCTCTGGAAAGATGTAACGTTTCCGATCTCGGACAGTCCCTGCAGATGTTCGTTTGATATTTTTTTCAGATTCTAAATATTTAGGAAGGAAGGTGGAATGTTTTGCTGAGTGGGGAGGTTAGGCCAGTCGTTTGCAAGCTGAGCTCTTCCTACTCGGCAGTAGGCACCCCATGGTGTATCGTCAGGCAGTAAAACTCCAGCAGAGGCACCTGCCCAAGTGTCATGCAGGGACATCCCTTGGCTCATGCTTGGCAGTTAGGCAAGGCGCTGCCTCAGCAGGGGAAGTGGTTTGTGGCCTTCCTTCCAGGTGTAGGGGACAAAGGGGGGCCAGGCCAGGCGAGGGTGATTCAGGGAGGCACAGCTAGCTGCAGCCTATGCACTCTTGGTCTGGGAGAGGCACAGGGCTCGGGTGGAGCTGCATCAGCAGTGTGACCTCCAGGACAGGTTTGGTGCTGGTTGGATGACCTTGGGTGGGTGACCTAGCGCCTGGTTGAGAAGGAAGCTGGCATGAGACTGTGAAGGCTGACAGGAGAGGAAGGGACCAGAGAACCCAGGGGTGTGGGGGGAAGAGGCAGAGGAGGCCAGGATGGACACTGGAATACCGAGCTCTGGATTGTGACTTGCTTTGATTTTTCTTGTACAGAACGTGGATGAGTTAAGCAAGCAGTGCGTTCTCATGGAAGAAACGGGTTTCCGAATCATCCAGATCTTGGTTCAGATCCAGCCATGTGGCCGGGCCAGACCACTTCCCTTCTCTGAAAGTCAGCATTTTCACCACAGGGCTAATAATGCCTGATTGGGAGGTTGTTTTAGATTAGAAATACAAAACCATTTTGACACATGGTTTATGGTCAGGGAATAATAGCTACTATTGCTACTACCACACAGCTTGCAAACAGAGACATTGCCATCTTCCAGAACAGACAGTGTTAGGCTCAATTAAAATTGTCCGGAACCAGGCAGACTGATCCTTCCTTGAGAGGCTGGCCACTGTCTTCTGGTTGACAACATGTTCATTGCTGGCCTGCAGCCCACTCTTACCCGGCACAGTTCAGGAACCAGAGCGACACCACTGGCTACGGCCTCGGAGCTAGGACCAGGCAGGTCTGGGAATGAAGCTGCCATTCTGCCAGGCACCGTTCTGGGCATGGTACATGTATTAGCTCATTTAGTGTGCGCCCTAGGCAGGCCACGGCCCTCACCCCTTGGACCTCCGGATGAGCTGTGGACCTGGTGGGACTGGCTTTCTTCAGGGCCTCCCCCTCCAGGTTGTACTCACTGATAATTGCCACGGGGCAGCAGAGACGCACAGCCTGCTTTCCAGGCCTGGCCTGTGTCCTTCCGTGTCCAAGCCACGGAGAGGAGAGGGCCTTCCTAGGGCAAGAGGCTGGCCTCTGACTTCAGACTCGGTTGGAATCGCCTCTCGGAACATCTGTGCGACCACAGCACATAAAAATGTTTTCTTCTGGCAGCCTTTCCTAAGGATGTAATAATATATGCATCACACAAATAGTTCTATTTTCGGTGGGTCAGCATTGCCAGAAAGCCGATCCTGACCAGGTGTTGAGGGAGTCGGCAGGGCTGTGAGCAAGGGGGTTGTGGGAACATGTCTGTGTGCCAAAGCCTCTGCCCACCCCCACCACCTTCTTCTGTCTGGTCCCTGCCGGGCCTTTTCCTTGGGCTCAATTCCTGGCCACAACTTGGGAGTCAGTCTGCTCCTGGTGGGACCGGGCCTGCTCATCTTCCTTTCCCTCCCAAGCCTCCCACCTGCTGTACCTAGAGATAGCTGATTTTAGGTGTGCCATCATCTGATCTTTAACAGTCTCATCAGAAATGGCCTGGGTCAGTGTCAAACCAGTGTTTCCTTCCCAGCTCTAATCTTCCTTCCTTCATGAGAGGGGTCGGCCTCTGCCCCCTCCAGTGCACTCTGACGCTCCAAGATCAGACTGGGCTGGCCTGGGAGAAAAGGAGACGAGGTGAGAAGCCGCAGAGGCCGCCAACCTCTGAGCACGTCCACCACCCCGAGGTCTGCCCTGCTCTTCTGGTTCTGAAATAGTGAGCCTCTTTGCCTTTTCTTTGCTTTTTTGCTGATCTGAGTTCATTTTGAGCTCTAGCCTTCCTGATAATGTTCTCATGTTTTCCCTGTGTCTTGGTTACCTGTCTCAGCTTCCATGTTTCATATCAGCTGTGGTAGTGGTAGCTGTGTGTTCTTATTTTCATTGTAGTAACGGTGAGCATTGGTGTGCTTACAGTCTGCTAGGCACCCTAAGTACTGCATAAGGAATTTATAATCTTTCAAAGGAAATAAGCCTTTAAACATGGGAGAAATGCACAGTTCATGAGTATACTGGCATCAAGAATCCTCCATTCCTTTCCCCCTCCCTGCTTCCTTTCCTTCTGTGGCTGAGAGTTGAGTCGCTGGGTCCCACCTCCTCCAAAACTCCATCCGCGTTGTCCTTAGATAGACTCTAGGAACTTGGGTCCAGAGTCTCTTGCTCACATTACCCATATCACTCAGCTTCCCAGAGCAGAAAGAAAGGGTTGGACCGGGCTCTGCTCTTGCGACTTCTGTGACATTGGGTAGGTCACTTATTGCTCGGAGCCTAAGTGCCTCCTGTTGCCCAGGACTGTCAGCTCTCCCTCTGTGACTGCCATCACAGGAGCGTCAGGGGCGCAGCAGCAGCGCGGGGCCGGCCTGGGGACGGGAAGCCTGTGCTGTGCCTGTGCCTGAGCACACCTTCTCTGGGCCTCAATAAGCCAGTGCCTGGTGGGGTGTCACCCTTGCCCTCCCTGCTGGGGGCTTGATGGGGTGACTGTTCCTTCAAGGGCAGATCACAACTCTCCCTAGGAATGTGGACGCTGGGCTTTTGCTGGCTGGGCCGTTTGTGACATGAAACTTAGCTCACCTCGTGCTTGGGTCCCCACTGGGGAGGCGGCCTCGCACCACCTTCAGTGGCTCCAGAGCTGCCAGCAGGAATAACAAGTTCTTTGTAAACTGTGGAGGGCCATGCTGTGGAGGGGCTGAGGTGGCCATTCTCAGAGAGCACCTGGCTCTCTCTAACGTGGAGGAATGTCTTGTCTTTTGCAGATGGAGAAAGATGAAACTGTGAGCGACTCCTCGCCACACATAGCCAACATTGGGCGCCTGGTAGAGGTGAGTGGGCCTTCTGGGCTCTGGCTCGCTTCCACAGCATCTGACGTTTGCCCCTGGATCCTGTTTGCCGGCTTGGTGGCCTTCTGCCTTGCTTCTTTCTTCCCGTTCCATAGCAGCCAATACTGCGCTTCTCATGATTTGCCCAGGCCTTGAGTTTTCTGAGCCTGTGATCTAGGTGCAAGCAGGGCACAGCTCCTAGGGCATCCCTCCACCCTCCCTCAAAACATTCCCAGGAGGGTCTGCTCAGGAAGCCTTAAGCCTGCCCCCCAGTGAGCGGAGACCTGACAAGGAAGCAGGTCTCTGGGTCCCAGTGGGGACCAGAGGGACTTCAGTTGCCACTGGCTTCCCTTCACCACGCTGTTTGGAAGGAGGGGGTGGTGGTGTGGTTTACTCCCAGTAATGGCCAGTGTTGCCACCAGTACCTGGATATTGGCTTCCTGCGTGCCTGTGGACGGGAAAGGGCACAGAGCACAAGTGATAAGTGGGGGTCTTGGCTGCTAGGGCTCGCTCACCAGGCATCTGCGCAGTCGTGCGTCTCCCCCCTGTGGTCACAGCGGGGACTGCAGTGGTGAGCTGGTGGGAGGGTGGGGACCTCAGGACTCCCAGCTGTTTGCTGACTGACCTCCCTCCCCAGGACATGGAAAATAAAATCAGAAGTACGCTGAATGAGATCTACTTTGGAAAAACAAAGGACATCGTCAATGGGCTGAGGTAATGTACCCAAAAGTACAAGCTTTGGAAACAAAAAAGATAGAGATTTGAATCCTAGGTCTGCTGCTTAACAGTTATATGCCTTTGAGCCTCAGCTTCCTCGTTTGTAAACTGGAGTGAAGTATCCACCTTCTAGGACTGATGTGCAGACTTGAACAGGAACGCACCGTGTACCTGTTTGCGTTCTCAATACATGCTGGTTCCTACCGCCACGCTTGTCACGTGGGGGGCGTTCCCGTTAGCAGCCACCGATGCCCGCATCCCTGAAGTCGGCCTCCTCTTGGCCCCTGGGGTCAGCTCATCTAAAGAATGCCCAGCCCTTTGGCTCTGGGTCTGAGGGGACCTCCAAACCAGACTCTAAGAGACATGGCAGGGTGCCCGCCGGGCTGCCAGGCCTCTGGTTGGCTGGGTTTCCGGGCAGCAGAAAGGGCCCCTTCACCTGCTGCTTTCTGGAGAGGACCCCGGCCACTCTGACGTCCTCTGCAGGGCTCCTTGGCTGTGGCCAGGGTCCAGAGCGGCCCTCCACCCAGCCCAGGCCTCTGTTCTGCAGTGTCCAGTGTCAGCCAAGTGAAGGCTGGCAGGCTCTCTGGGTCCCCGAGGTCCGTGGTGGCAGAGCAGGAGGCCAGAGCCGGTGGGGCAGTGGAGGCCATGGTGTCAGGAGGCCAGTATCGGAGCATGCTCTGCAGAGCTGTGCGACCGTGGACGAGCCACTCCTCTCGGAGACCCTCCCAGTCAGGGCGACGGGGCTGGCTCTGCAGCCAGCACGGTACTGAGTCCGAGGGCTCCCGCTCCTCCTTGGCGGGCAGCCTGCTAATCCCCATTCCAGGTGCCGCTCTCGCCTTCTGGGCCAGGAGAGGAGGAAGCAGCCCAGGGGGCTGCCCTGGCTTGTGAATTCACCAAGCGGAAAGGATTTTTAGTTTTCTACTCGTACAGTTTTGCAATAGTGAGGATTCCCCTTTGGACCCTCATCGTCCCCCATTTCCATCCCGCCTGTGGGGAACATGGTCTGGCCCCTGTTGGGTTTCATTCCCCCTCTCCCCTTCAGGCAACATTGCTTTCCTGTAGCTGCTGAGCCTCACGGCCACCGCCAGCCCAGCGCTCTGCTCTGTGACCTCCACACCCCAGCCCAGAGCAGCGTGGCCTTGGTGACGGGCCCCTTTCTTCCGCCTCTGTGTCCCCTATTCCTCCCTCCTCTCTCCACTGCCCCCGCTCACGTGCTCCTGGGCCCGTGCTGTCCTCGCTCCTTCGTTCACCTCTGAATACTCTCTGTAGATCTGTTGACGTTATCCCTGACAACCCCAAGTTTCAGCAGTTGCAGAGGGAGCTTTCCCAGGTGCTGACCCAGCGGCAGATCCACATCCAGCCTGATAACTAGGCCGATCCAGGTACCCTTCCTGAGAGGGCGAGCTCCCTCCACTAAACAGGACTCACCAACCCGCCGACCTGAGGTTCGGCTGCCGCGCATCACTCAACCCATCACTAACCCCGTGTCCGCTCACGGCCCGCCACCTTAATCCAATTAACATGTAGATTCAGCCACGTAACATGGACCCGTATCGTGTGTGCAGTGTGTATGTGGCGCTCGGGGCGGGGGTTGGTGTGGGCAGACGGTTTGGCTTTGGCTCCTGTAGAAGTCCAGTCCAGCAGAAGTCTCAGGTCTGCACGGCTTTGGTGGCCGCAGGGCCAGGGTCCGTGTCCTGCCTTCTGTTCGCCACGTGCAGCCCAGTCACCCCAATTTCCCACCAAGAATCCTTGGGGCTAGCTGATGGGAAAGGGGGTTATTGCTGTGAGTGTGAGGACAGAGTGCAGAGTGGGGGCTGTGGTCCGCCTGACTGGCCCGATGCACCCAGACTGGTTCTGCTGGAGCTGCCTGGACCAGCGTCACCTCCCACCCCTAACGAGCTGCAGCCGCCCTCTGACACGCCCTGCGCTGACGGGGAGGAAAACAGCCTTGCTTGTTGATAATGGCCGGGAACCGTGACTTGAGCTTGTGAGAAATAGGAAAGCAGCATCCCCCGAGAGGATGAGGGACACTGGTTTTCACATCACATGTTTGAAAACCCAGCCAGGCAGGGCGAAGTGCCTGGCCTAGGGGCTCAGCCCCAGGCTGGGGACCGGACACTAAAGCCCAACCCAGAAGTGGCTCCGTGGGGTCTCCGGGGTGGGTGGAGGGGGCACTTACATAACCAGGCGGAGCCGCGCTCATCTGTGGGGCTGGAGTGCATTGGTCTGGGCTGTGTGCCCCAGCTCTAGGCCCAAGGCATCTGTCAGCCTCCTGCCTCATGCTGGGACCATCCTGTTCCCACCACATGGTGAGAAACCCCTTTTTAAGGTGTCTCATGACAGTGTACTCCTCCCACCCCACGGCTCCACTTTTAGGGTTATCTGGGCCCCTGGCCTTGGCATCCAGTGGCTGCCCACTGAAGCCTCTCCAGCATGGAAGCCCTCTGCAGCTGGGCAGCCTGGCACCCACCGTCTGTCCGGACAGGTCCTCCTTCCCACACTGAGTTAGTGCTCCCTCTGGGCGTTGGTTTGAGTTGCTTGGCAATAACCTTCCCAGCTCTGTCCCCTGAATGAACGGCCTGTTTTTTATCCTCCAGCTGCCCCAAGCCTAACCCGTCGCTCACTGACTCTAACTCTGGTTCTAACGGCAACTTCCTCCTCTGTGGGGTGGGTGCTGGAAGAGCCGGCAGCCGCATGCTGGGGCCATCTGCAGAGCCGGGGCCGTCCTTCCAGGCCAAGGACCATGTGAGCGCCTGCTTCGCCCACCCCATCCTCCCGCTGGTCACGTTAACCTCCGTGGGAGCCTCTCTGGAAGCCCCTGGCGGACTGGCTAGATTGGAGCCCGAGGGCCACGTGGCTGGTGGCTGACCCTCCTTTGTCAGGGCAGAGCCTGGGCGTCCAGACGATCAGAAATGCGTATTTCAGCAGCATCAACCCAAAGTCGGCATTTCTCACGGCCGTTTTTCAGTTGTATGCCGATGCTTTAAAACCTTGCCTATTGCGTTGCACTCTCACATTCTGAGGGTCCTGCCGGGATCTTCCAGGATTGGGTAGCCAGCATTCACCTCGGGTGCTGCTTCTCCTGGCCCCACTTCATCGCACTGCACCCGTTTTCGGCATTTGGGGTATTTCGATCCTTTCTCCCACTCTTCCCTTGGAGCAGCGTTCCTGAGAGGCAACCTCACCTTTCTCTGCTGTTCGAAGGGCATCAGTAAAACTATTAACAAGTTCTCAGTTAACCAAAACGGCGGGTAAAGCTGACAGTGATCATTCGAAGCGTTGCCAGGGGCATTTTCGGAGCCTGTTTCCTTACCTGTAAATTAGAAATAACACTGCCTCTTGGGCGCTGTGAGCGTTGGGAGAAGGTGTGAAAGCGCTTTGTGGATTGTACAGCCTCCGTGAGCCTACTTGCTAGCTCTGTCGAGCAGTGTGCCTGCTGTGTGTGGATGCACTCATTTCCCACAAACCAGGCCCTGACAGCAGGGACCCCGGGCCTTACCTCAGTTTCCTGCTGCCTCTCAAAATCCAGGGAGAGGGCTTTTCTTGGCCAAGTTAAAGCTGATGGAGCCTCATAGCAAAAGCCTGAGAGCGCTCGTCCTTTGAGTTCTGCCCTGGCCGTGAACCCAGTGTGCTCAGATGTCCAGGGCTGGTTCTTAAACCCTCGCTAAGGGGGGGTGCCCTGTACCCTGCACTCATGGGCAGCATTGAGCCTCCTGCTGGGCCGGGTGCCATGAGGGGGAAGCTTTGTAACGAGGTCCTCCGGGTCCAGAGGAATGGACCAGGGTCCTGGAGCTGTGGCCGAGTCCCCCAGCCCGGTGCAGAGCTGAGCATCTGTCCAGGTGGACGGGCCCTGGGCCTCCGAGGGGCCGGCGTGGTGCTGAGGGTGTGGCCTCGGGCTCTGCTCCCTCCGCATTTCGCTGGCGCCGCTCTCACTAGAGGGGCCCAGTGCTGCCCAGTGACCGGCCCCTCACCACCCCTCTTCCTGCGAAGCCTGCTAATAACAATTCTTTTCCTCCCTGGCAGGTCTGTGCAGACTTTTGCAGACAAATCAAAACAAGAAGCTCTTAAGAACGACCTGGTGGAGGCTTTGAAGAGAAAGCAGCAATGTTAAACCTCTGCTTCACGCTAACCGGACATGCCATGCACTCGTTAGATTCCTTTCTTAGAAAACTCGTTTTCTGCTCCCTCCCCTGCCCCCTTCCTCCCCGGCAGGTCACACCACACCTGCGTCACCGGCCTGCACAGCGCCATCACGCCCCGAGAATAAAGCCGCTACCGCCCTCTCCGTCTCCACGGCCTGCTTCCCACCACGTTTTGCTATCAGAACTCGGTGTTTCCATAGAGACCATGTGTGTTTTGTTTGCCCAGGCTCCACCCCCCATTTATAGGCATAAAATACACTGTCTGTCTGCCTCCCCTTCCTTCCCACCTTTTTGTTACATTGGTGTAAAAAATGTAAAACAAAAAAATTTTATGAAATAACTGTGGTGTGTGAAAGAAGAAAAACTGGAAATCTGATTCCACGTGTGTTTGGGAGTTGCTTGGGGTTGGGATGGGGAGAGGGGACAGCTCTGGGGGGAAGGAGAGGCGGCCCTCAGCACTGTCCCGCACACCTGGCCCCTGGCCCCAGAGACCACGTTACGGGGCTCGGGGGGCCTGCGACCGTCTGCTCTTCTGGCCAGGTGCTTTTCTGTCAGTTTTTATGGAATGCAAAAGGAGTTTTTTGTTTTATTTTGTTTTTGTTTTTTTTTGTAAAGCTTAAAAAAAAAATCTACATCTTATACTTGAGCTTCCATACTTAAGAAAAAAAAAAGTAAAAAAAGAACAAAAAAATAAATAAAAAGAAACTGGGACGCAGCACTGGCCTCGCGTTGTTTCTCACCTGCCTCACTTTGCCAGCATGTGTGGCCTTCGCCCCGAGGGCGACCCCAGGTGGGGGGAGTGGCAGGCTCAGCAGAGCGTGGGGTGGAGGGAGTGTGGAGCGAGGAGAACCCCCCCCCCCCTCAAGCACTTCTCAACCCCTCCTTCCCGGAGTCCCCAGCCCACCTGCCCCGCAGCCCTGGGGCTACTTGAAGTCACACCAGCCATGAAGCGGAAGGTGGGGGCTTTCCTCTCTGCTCCCCACTTTGCTCTCATCTTAGCAAACAGCTCCTCTGAGGGCCACTGTCCTCATTCCCAGCCTTTGGGGGGAGCTGAGGGAAGGCAGCCAGGCCTCATGGCTGAGAGGCCATGGGACCGCAGTAGGGCCCAGACCCCGACCGTCTCCTCTGGTTTGCGGTGCCTGGAACTGTGACCTCTGACCTGTCTGCGTGTTCTGACAGGAAGGTTCAGATGGGACATCTTCGTTGAGAAATAGAAACAGGAGAAGCCCCCGCACTCGGTTCCTCCAAGTGCCAGGTGCAGAGGACAAGCTGGAGAGAAGCAGGCCCTGGCCATGCAGCCCCGCAAGTGGCAGCTGGGCACCCTCGGTGCGGGGCCCAGAGGCACTGCCAGAGGGTCTGGGTGATGGCTGCAGTGCCTGACACAGAGTGGTGAATAAATGATTTCCCTCTTGATAGGTGTTCAATCATGTGACCAAAAATAACACTTGAAACCCAGAAATTGTGACTGTCCTGAATGCCAGGCCTGATTTTACTCTGCCTTCCAGAATCTTCCACAGAGGGGGGGGCGTCACTGCTCTTGTTTTAATGCTAAATCAGACTGGTGAGAGGGAATAGTGGGCTGTGACGCCAGGTTTCCTAGGCGAAGGAAAAGCAAAAGGAGTGTTGGTGGCCTGGCTCAGGTCCACCTCCCAGCCACTCCTTTCTCTGCACAGAGGCGAGCACGGGGGCTGCAGGGCCCCTCATGCATGCAAAGGCGCCCTGGGTGGTGGACTAGCCCTCGGGGTCTACAAGCTGCAGGTGGCAGACTCGGGGTTTGGCAGCATTATGGCAGCCCCTTCACCCTCACTAGATGCTTCCTGCAGCTGCCCTTTGGTGCCCGATAACAGGAGGCAGCCTTCTGGTCTGGGCTGCATGAACCCTGGCACCCTGGGTCGGTGGTCTCCAAGTGTGAGGGCTCAGGTGGGTAACCCCGGCATTCCCCATCTCCCAAGTCCCTCTTGGAACCTGCCTCCTTGCTGTCATCTTGACAGGTGGGCTTCTGGGGCCGCAGGTTCCAAGACTGCCTGTCTCCATTCCCATCACTGACCAAGCAGCTGCTGTGTGGCAGGCCTGGGAGACTCCGCTGACGGGATGGGCAGGCATTGCGGACTGGGCCTCCAGGCCCTTCCCTTTGGTGCCGCCCCCTCTATGGAGCCTGGTGCCCTGCAGTCATGGCTTCTCCTCCCCCTGGCATGACCCACGCTAAGCCAATTAAGATGTTCTCTCCGGAGAGACTGATGCTTAAGTTGGAACAGTTTCATCCTAGCTTGGAAGGGTTCCTGCTGAGCCCCTGGAGCAGCCTAGGCGCTGTCCTCCGTGACCTTGCCCTTCCCTCCTGGGAGCCCACAGTCATCCTGTCGCTTGAGGGGCTGGAGGAGAGGGAACCCGTGGGAGCACCTACTTGGGGCCGGTCGCTGGGCCTGAAAACCCTCATTACAAGCCAGAGGCAGGCCCGTCTCCTCCACTTAGCAGTAAGCAGGGGGCCAAGAGAGGATCTTTGGCTTGCAAGCGTTTGTTTGTAAGCCTGTATAGCAAATTCTTAATAAGTATGTCTCGTTCCAAATACTGGAAGTAAATGTTAATAAATTATATACTCAGGAATTTAACGTTAAAAATCTCATTTTATATAAGCAAAATCAATGGACGAAAAACGGGGGGGGAGGGCATGTATGGGAATTGGGGTGGGCAATGGAAAGATATGTACACATAGCCGGGTCGGGTGCGGCCAGGCCCGGAGCAGCGGCTGCCAGGCTGGGAGCGGCCAGGCCCGGGGGAGCAGGCGGGGCTGGTGCGGCCAGGCCCGGAGCAGCGGCTGCCAGGCTGGGAGCGGCCAGGCCCGGGGGAGCAGGCGGGGCTGGTGCGGCCAGGCCCGGAGCAGCGGCTGCCAGGCTGGGAGCGGCCAGGCCCGGGGGAGCAGGCGGGTCGGGTGCGGCCAGGCCCGGAGCAGCGGCTGCCAGGCTGGGAGCGGCCAGGCCCGGGGGAGAGGCGGGTCGGGTGCGGCCAGGCCCGGAGCAGCGGCTGCCAGGCTGGGAGCGGCCAGGCCCGGGGGAGCAGGCGGGGCTGGTGCGGCCAGGCCCGGAGCAGCGGCTGCCAGGCTGGGAGCGGCCAGGCCCGGGGGAGCAGCCGGGTCGGGTGCGGCCAGGCCCGGAGCAGCAGCTGCCAGGCTGGGAGCGGCTAGGCCCGGAGCAGCAGCAACCAAGTCCAGAGCAACTAGGTCGGGAGCAGCAGTGACCAGACCCGGAGCAGCTGATTGTGGAATGAACCAGAGCAACAGAGGCTAGGCCCTGAGCAGCCAGGCCCAGAACAGCTCGCTCCTTGCCTGCCCCTGCCCCACGGCTGCTTCTCAGACATGGCTGGAAACTTTCGTGGGAACTTGAGGGTCTGCTGAATCAAGTGATGAAGGCTTAGATCTGGATGTGTTGAGTTAGTTTAGGACTGGGGTGTTGATCTGTGAGTGCCTTGGGTGGGGCCTGGATGAGGCTGGTTGACCTAGAGGGAAATGTCTTTTGTGTGAAGTGTATCATTGGGCATGTGGAGGTATTATTGATATGAGAAAATGCTAAATAACTGATTTACTATCTGAAAAGGGATTTACTATTGGGGAAATTGAGGGAAGAAGAGACTGAACATAAACTGCACCTATGGATGAGGACAATGGGGGGGGGGACGGAGGGTGGGTTGGGAACCTGGTGGAGGGGGGAAGAAATGAGGAACCTTTGTAATAATATGAACAATAAAGATTGATTAAAAAAAAAAAAAAAAAAAAAAGATATGTACACATATAATACCTTAATAAAAAAAATAATCTAATTTTATAATTATTTTCTCGGTATAACTAAAATTTATAAAACCTTCAGTAGGAAAACCAAGGTTACTCAACACCTTGCATGTTACTTCACCCAGAACATCTGCTTCCTACAAACACTTGGAGGACTTTGTTACCGATTTTGCAATTCACTTGGGGGCCCTATAGTCATTCAACAGGTACTTTAAAAAAAAAAAAATAACTAGTTGGTGCTATTTTTTTCTTGTTTCATTATAATTTGTATCATTTCTCAGATTGTTCAAGTAGCCTTTTAAACGACAACACAGACTGTAGACATTTAAAAATATTTTTTTTAATTGATTTCAGAGAGGGAGATAGAAACTTCAGTGATGAGACTCGTTGATTGGCTGCCTCTTTCACTACCCCGCCCCAAAAAGGGGATCGAGCCAGCAACCCAGGCGTGTGCCTGACCAGGACTTGAGCTGTGACCTGGTTTGAATGCTGATGTTCAACCACTGAGCAATGCCGGTAGGGTGAGACTATAAACATTTTATATATATAACCTCATAATTTAAAGAAGTCAAGTCTCTGAAATATATTTAAATATGGTATAACATTTTAAGGTTTTATTTTCTATTCTTAGATATTTCCTATATCTTTAAAACTATTACTACATAGACATACTCATCCCTGTTGCTACTTTGTGAAACTTTTCAACTTGGAGTAAGTGCTCAGTAAATGTTCTGAGGAATGAACTATATATATATATATATATATATATATATATATATATATATATATATATATATATTATTTTTTTTTTTTTGGTCTAGTGCAGATATTCAGCCAGTGTGCTGCAAGAACTTCTAAAACATGAAATACCTGTTTAGCTGGGCACTGACCTCTTTTCCCTTAGACTATTGAATAAAAACATGGCAATAGACAGCACAATAGCCATCTGGTGTGAAGGAATCAAAATTTACTTATTCTTATTGTCAGATTGGCAAAAAATACATATTTCAGTGTGCTGCAGAATTTTAGTCATTAGTTTGTGTGCCGTGAGGGATGAAAGGTTGAAAGTATCGATAGCTGCTCTAGTGAATGAAATCCTTGACTCCTCTCACCTGACCAGTTCCTCACGCACAGTAGGCCTCCAGGTGACTGTGTAATGACTACATTGAGTAGGAATGTTGTAAGACACTAATAACGTTCTCATTGCCTACAACTTCCCATTCAAGTTTCAATAACAGCCAAGAGCTTTATTGAGTGATGAGTCACATGCCTGCCCGTTTAAGATGTAAAAATTCAATAGTTTAGTGCTTGGGGGTCCCATGCCTTCTTCACTAGGGGTCCCTTGAGGGACAGTGTTTTGGGCATTCACTCCACTCACTCAATTCATTCACCATTTATCGAGCACCCGGATACAGTGGTGACCAGGAGAAGCCTCAGTCCATACCATCTAGTGTGGGCGGGGACATCCTTCTTAACTGCATGAGCTGGGAGGTGGCTGTGTCCTCAGGGCTGTCACAGGGCAAGGAACTAATCAGTTATTAGTTGAATTGAGTTAATCTGAAGACAAAGGCCATCCCTCCTCCCGGCCACAGGGCTGACACTGCCGGGACAGCTGTTCACCAGGGACCCCTGGGGTCCCGCCATCCAAGTCCAACAGGAGGAGGCGTGAGGAGAGGGCCGTTTCTCCCCTTTCTCAGCTTTGGGGACGGAGATGTGGCCCGAGCTGTGGCTTCGAAAACCCCAGGTTCCAGGAATAACCAGGGGGAACCCTGGGCTGGGAGGGCCTGGGGACGGGCCCTGGGTTGGGTACTTCCTTCTGCTTTTTGCAGAGTGCCACCTGCCTGGCAGCCAGCTGGTCCTGTCTCTCCCCCGTCCCTGTACCCAGGTGTGGGAACCACGGGGCCAGATACTGCACAAGGCATTTTCACATTCAGCATCTCATTCGATAGTTAGGCCTCACCTAGAGATGAGCACCCTAAGCACCCTTGCCTGCAGCAAGAAGCAAGAGGTGTGAGCCCAGGGGAGAAAGGAAATCCATGGAGTGCCTTCCACCCCGAAGGCCCCACTCCAGCAGGCAGGGCCCAGTCATGCAATGGAACCCGTCAGACTGGCCCTTCCGCTCTGGGGAGGAAGTAACCTGAGCAGACCAGGGCTTGTGCTGGGCAGTGGATAGGCTCAGGCAGCCACTGTTTATTTACCAGGCAGCTCCCACGCGCCAGGTGCTGTGGCACAAGCCGGCAAGCCCGTCTTATTCAGCCACAACCACGTTCTCCATCTGACAGGCACTCCCAGCGCCGGGGCCTCTCCCATCAGACTGGGCTTCCTGAGGTGGGAGGGTGCTATCGCCCATCAGAGGAGGGTTCCCAGGGTGGGGCTGTGATATTTCATCCTTCTCCCCACCCAGCTCTAGGTCAGGGGTTCGTGCTGCCATACTGAGCCTCAGTCTTCAGGCTGGGAGGTGCCTCCTGGCTCAGGTGACCAGCATCCTCCAGCCAGGTCACAGCCCTGGGTGGCGGTGGGGAGGGGCGGCAGAGCCAGCTGGGCCTAGGCACCTTCCACTGCACAGACCAGAGGCTGTGGAAGTTACTGCTCAGAATGGTGGGAAAGGGGCCTGAGCCCAGCAGGGTTGGCAGCCTCTCCCCCCCACCCCCCAAGGCAGGGCAAGGCTGAGGCTGGACCCCCAGGCCCTAGCCAGGGAGAGGGAAGGCACCAGGTGTGGGATGACCCCTGTAGCTGAGGGACCTAATGCGGTTCAAACAGCTGCCAGGTCCAGCTGTGCGACCTCGGGCAAGTGGCTTAACTCCTCCAAGCCTGGTTCTCTGTTAAATGGCCATCATAATGCAAGAGGCACCCCCCCGCCCCTCAAGCAAGTTCTCAGGAAACCTCAGTGGCATGCCGGGTTACACACAGGCCTCGCAGGCATGCCTCCGGACAGGGCGGGGGAGACTGGCCCTCACTGCCCACCTGAACCTCAGAGGTGCCCTGTTTCCTCCCCCCAGCCCCAGATCCCTCCTCTCTCCCCCCAACCAAACCCAGCCTCCTGCTGGGAGCCACTCCATGCCTGCCTCCACACCTCACCTCCGTTCTGCTCTTCATACTGGCAGGGACCAGAGCTGGTTCACCCCCACCACAGACTTCGACCACAAGGGCCAAGGGAGAACTGTACAGCGTAAATATCTGTAGCACCAAATTGGGCAGTGGCACACTCCCCTCCCTCCACTGCTGTTCAGAGCAGCCCAGACCCCAGCATCCTGGGAAGGAGCGACAGGACAGGTCTCGCTGGGAAGAACGGTTTACTAGGCTGGCTCAGTCTGGGCACACCAGGCACGGCTGTCCCTCCAGGGCGAGCAGCAGAATGAGGTAGGTGAGTGAGGGGCGGCCCCACTGTTTTCAGGGTGAGGTCCCTGCGGCAGCCCCTCCATCAAAGCTCCCAGGGCAGCTGCCTCAGTCTCTGGGGGTTGAGTTCCCAGCGGGAGGGGGAGGCTGGCCTGAGGGCCGTCTGGCTCCTGGAAGAGTCAGCCCAGCAGGTGTGGGGGGGCAGCTGGGTCAGGAGCAGTAGGCCCCCGACCCTGGCTTCCTCCACAGCCTAGTCCAGGTCCTCGGCACTCTGACTGCCCACCCCTCTTCCTGAGTGGTATCTGGACGTCCCGGTCATCTGGACTTGGCTGCGTCCCGGTCAGCTGGGGAGGAGGGGCTGGTGCTCTGAGGACGTGGCGGCGTTCCTGTACACCAGGAACTGGATGGAGATCTGGAGGGGTCGACGTCAAGGCCTGACCAAGCACAGACTGGGCTGGACCTGCCTAGAGCTCCCTCTTCCTTCCCTCTCAGCCCCACTCTGGCTGGTGGAAGGGCCGGCGATGACCTCCCAGCTTCTGCTCTCCCTGCACCTCCCACTCCTCAATCCCTAGCCCGACTTCCTCCTCCAAGTCCAGCGCTAGGGTCTTCCTCCCGCAGGCAGTCCTCCCTGACTGCAGCCCCATGAGCTGGCCTGCCGCCCACCCTGCACTATCCTGGGAGTTTCCCCCAGGGGCTGGGGCCATCGGAAGGCACTGAGAGCTCACACTGTGCTTTTGCTGACGTTCGGTATTATTTTAGATTAGTTCCAGGTGAGTTAAACTTCCCTCACGGCAGCCAGCAGGGACGCGGCATGTGCAAACAGGGGCCACGCTTCCTTTCTCCCAAAAGCGATCCAAACAAGGCCCCGTCTTGCCGTTCAGCAAACATTTACTGAGCACACGCTGTGCTGGGTGCGTGCAGCCTTCCGGACCCCTTACCTTACGTGATCGCCCTATTATCTCGGTGAGACAGCGACTGTGGCTCACGGTTCCCCCGTGTCCCACGGCGGCGGGGAACAGAGCCAGAATGTGACCCCGTTGTTGTGACGAACTCACGTGTCTCCGCGTTTCAGCTCTCGCTCCTCAGGCCTGCAGGGCCCAATCTCCCCCCTCCTGGGGCCTTCGCACAAACTGCTTGCCTTTGCCTGCCTGACCTCTCCTCCAGGGCAGTTTAAATGGCACCGGGGAGGCCTCTGCGGAGCCTTTAAACAGGGACAGCCCCCTGGTCACACCCTCACAGTCTTTCTCTGTGGCCCTCGTGTCATTGCAACAAGCAATGAATTAATTCTACGAGTGCCTCCTGTCTGCCGCCCGGGGCGGGAAGCTCCCTGGGGCCAGGCCGTCAGTTCTTGCTTGCTCCTGGGCCCAGTGCCTGGCGGGCAGGGCAGACTCTGGGTGGGTGGGTGGATGGGGAAGCCCCGAGCAGGAAGGGGCTGCCGTGCCCGCCCTGAAGGATACGATGGTGTCGAGCAGCAGCACGCCCAGGCTGCCCACGAGCCAGGGCAGGTGGTGCAGCACGTAGCTGCCCTCGCTCTGGCCGTCCTCGGGGTTCTTGAGCAGCACACTCATCCCGTACAGCGTGTTCCCCAGCATCACCAGGGCGAACAGCGAGTAGGAGATCCCCTGGGTGGACTTCCGCAGGAACTGGCGGGGAGGGGGCCGGGGTCAGACACCTCAGGCAGGGCTCTGTCACCCGGGTGTGACCGTACCCATCTGCCCGTCACACTGGGCGTGCAGTCAGAAAGCTGACTTTTTCAGGCACGGCTCCGGGGCCCGGCTCCTCATCCTCACTCCCGCCACCTCCCCCAGCCCCTGCCCAGGTCCACAGGAGACCATGGCTGCGCTATGCCTGCTGCTATGACGCCCTGCTCTCCAGCCCCACGCTGACTCTCGTTGCCTCTGACCGCCCATCCCTGATTCTCCACCGTCTCTCCTCTCAGGCCTCTAAGCTCAGCCCCTCGCTCTCACCTGAATTCCTACTTCTGAGAGCCACACTGGTCACACGGGCGCCTGGATGGCAGGCATCACCACACCCATTTTCCAGAGGCACAAACCGAGGCTTGGAGAATTGGAGGAAGTTGCCCAGGCCACCGGTGAGTGTAGACCCAGACCTTCTGCTCTGTGCTACTCCTGAACCCAGAGGCCCGAGCTGCCGGGCTGGCTCCTCTCTTCCCCTCGGCCCCACCCCGCTCCAGGCTCACATTGGTATGGATCTGAGGCAGCCGGGAGAACAGGTACAGGACGCTGGAGATGGAGCCGATGACAAAACCGATGATCTCCTGCTTCGTGAAGGGCTGAGAACCAGAAGGGAGCGGTGCTCAGTGCTCCCTCCTAAAGGCATCCTTCCTCCCCCCAGGTGGCCCTGCAGGGAGGGCCCTTGATGCCAGCCTCCGACCTCCACCCGACCGTCACGTCCCACACCTCACCTTATTGCCTGGCTCCACAGACAGGAGCTTCCGGCCCTGGAAGACCTCCCTCGGGGTGGCCACAGGGCCAGTGCTGCTCAGCAGCGGGCTGGCACACACCAGTCCCATGCCGAACAAGAGCACCGCGTTGATGGGGGCAGACACTGGACAGGAGGCAGGAGGGAAGCGGAAGTTAGATATCTGAGTGGATCAGAGTCATGGCCTTGCCCTCGGTGGCTGTGTGACCTCGGGCAAGTGACCTAACCTCTCTGAGCTTTATTTCCTCATCTATAGAATGGGTGCAATAACACTATCCTTCTCCTGGAGTTGTAAAATTGATACGATGACAGCAGTAGGGTCCAAGGAGGAAGGGGGGGGGGGGTGCGCGGGTATCAAAAGCAGTGCCTGGGGCCACATCTCACAGCCCTGGCTCTCACCCCGACTATGGCCTCCTCTGAGTCCTCAGAGGCAGTGATGGCCTGTGAGCCCTGTGTCTGTTTCCCCGGCTCCAGGCCCAGGGCCAGGCCCAGAGGAGCAGCGGAAGCCATGCCTGTGGAATAGCAATGTGAGTGAAGGGAGGCCCTGTGGTCCTGCCCGGATGTGTGTGCCCACGGCCCTCGGCCCCTATCTCGGCCGATCAGGGCTCAGGCTTCCAGATAAGGCTGATCACCGGGCAATGGGACAGCTGCTTCCTCTCACCCTCCGGCTGCCCCCGGCGTGTCTAACACGGAGGGAGGGCCCACCGTACTCACACGCAGAGGGGCGATTCTTAAACTTGTAGTGAAAGTAGAGGGACAGCATCACCAGGTCCGCCAAGACGTAATACACCGCCGTGTAGGTCTGCAAGAGAAGCAGGGGCGCTGGCTCAGCCCCAGCCCTGGGGACCGCGCCCCGACACTGCGCAGCACTCTTGAAAGGAGGATGGCAGTTCCTCCCTCGCAGAACTGGAGAGCACAGGGGCGAGGCGTTGGCCCCGGCAGATGGAGGAATGGGTGGCTAGCTCCCAATTTTTCTCCTCCTGCCCCCCCCTCCCCCCACCGCCACCCTGAGCTCCATCAGGATCAGAGCACCCCAGAGCTTAAAGGCTCTGGTGATCCTCTGGTTTGATGTGGCCATTTTACAGATGGGGAAACTGAGGCCCAGCGACCAGCCCATTGCCATACTGCACGGCAGGGCCCAGGGCTGTCTCTACAGCATGGGGCCCTCATAAGATGGAACAACAGGCCAGGATCGCGGAGCCCGGGCCTCTCCTGTGGGTGCCCCCCACCACCTCTGCTCTGGCTCTTCTAGGCAGCCCACCCTGCCCGGGGCCGGCCCACCTGCAGGGGCAGCTGGTCAGCAAGGAAAGAACCGATGAGGTTGCAGGAGTCTCCGCCAATCCAGCCCAGGAGGAACCACAGGGACAGGGCCTGGTCCATGTTGCCCGTCTTGCACGCCTTGATGTACTGCCTGCGGCAGAGGAGGAGACGTGTGCTCAGGCGCTGAGGGCCGTGGCATCGCCTCGGAGGGACAACAAGGGAACGGCCCCCAGGTGAGACCACCACAGGGTGGTGGGGCAGGGGCAGCAGAGGCCAAGGTCACCGGGAGCCCTGCAGGCAGGGTCCTCGCGAGCCTCTGCCCACTGGGGGTTTTTACTGGGAGAAGCCCTGCCTACCCAGGGACTTGATGGGATGTGCACCTTCTCAGACACTCTCCTCTGAGCACCCTGGGGGCCTAGAATCTTCCTTCTACGAAGCGGGTGGGGAGTTTGGAAAAAGGATGGTGGTGGTGGCAGCAAGCCCAGGGCCCAGGCCCGGCCGCTGCCCTATCTCCAGGACGGGCGGCGATAAGATGATGGGCAACCGCAGCCCGCTAGCTGCCAGGGGCAGGGCTGTGGCTCCTGGCTCTCCAGGACCAACGCAGGGGCAGTCAGCACCCTGGCTATTTCCCAGGGGCCCCTGGGACTGCGACCCTTTCTTTGGGCCTCTGGCTGGGTACCAGGCACGGTTCTGACCCCCTCCTGTGTATGGACTCACTCGGTCCTCACGGTCCCCCAGGGGGTCAGGTGTATTTTGAGGACCCTCCTCACTGCAGGCTGAGGAGGTGCACAGCCAGGAGCTGGGAGTAGGATTCACACCCGGACCCTGGGGCTCCGGTCTCACGTCACCGGGACTGCTCTGCTTTCTCCTTTGAGCTCTTCCTCTGCAGATGGCTCACCCACCTCCTTATCTGTCACCGCTCAGGACGCAGTTCCTCTCAGGGCCTTGCTTGGCCTGAGCTCACCAGCGCCCTTTGTGACACTAACGCCTCCTGGACTCAAGCTTCCGGAGGGCAAGGACAGGGCCCAGCACAGGCCTGGCTCCGAAGGCCCTGAATTAAGGTTTATGCCGTGTCCCACTTAGCTCCTTCAGGATGCTGTGACCTGGCCTAGCTCCGGAACTTGCAGGTAAAATACTTTAGTCACACCCACGACAGGCCAGGGCCTAAGGAGGAGCAGGAAGGTGGCTGCCCTTTCCGCCATCACTTGGGGCCCTCCCCCAGGCCTTCCACCCCTGTCACGGGATAATCAGCCAGACCCAGGCAGGGCCAGTGCTATGCCAGAGCCAGCCAGCTTCTCTGATAGTTCAGGGAGTCTCTCTCCCTTGGCCTCCATCAGCACCCAGACCTGTCCACTCTGCCTCCCGAGGGCTTCCCCAACGGGCCCCGCCATCACCGCCTGCTGGATGGCCTCTCTGCCCCAGTCCCCCCTGTGATTCCCAGGTGTCTTCGAAGGGGAAGCCATGCAGAGACCAGGACAGTCTCTATTTTCCTTCCTGTGTCACCCCTAGTGCAGTCCTTCTGTGCTTCTGTGGGACTATGACATGGGTAACGGCTTGGAAAGTAACGGCTTGGAGTTCTCAAGCGGTTGAGCACGGTCCCGCCACCTTGGTGCTACTCACGGGAAAGTGGACGAGGCGAAGCAGAGAATGGAGATCAAGCCCAGGCCCACACTGGCCTCGTCCCAGCCGTCCTGGGCACATTCCCCAAACACGTCCCATATCCACTGGGAGCCATTGGGGCAGCTGGAGAAGTTGCCGGAGCCCAGCTTCTTCCAGACCATGCTGCCAGGGCGGGCGGGGGGCTGCTGGGCGCTGAGGCAGGCGAGGGCTCTGCAGGGAGAGAGAGAGGGGGCTTCAGCCTTGGAAGGTTGGGGTGCTGTCATGGTGCCCCCAACCTAAGCCCACCCCAGGTTATGACTGAGCCCTGGACCACAGGACTCCATCAGCCTCAAGCACAGAGCGCGAAGCCAACCCCAGTCAACCACGCGTGCAGAGAGCGCCGGGCCCACAGTCAGGGGCAAGTGCCTTCGCATCCCCCCTTCACCCTCGTTAACGGGCAACTGAGCCTCCGTTCCCTCAGCTGCAAACCGGGGTGATAACAGCGCCCCCCTCATACATCTGTGAGGCCCAATGAGCTCCTAAATACCGTGTGGAGAGCTCGGGCCCAACATGTCACTTTGGCTGTAATTGCTGAGACCAGGCCCATGGACGAGGCTTGTCACCTTGGTCTGTGGGCGAAATGAAAGGGGTTCTGTGGAAAGTACCTCGAGAGGTGACCTGTAATCTGATAGTAATCTCATAAATTCCTAGCTGGGCGGGTCGTGGTGGGTAGGCATGTAACTTCTTCAGTGAGAGGTTTTAAGCCCTGTTCATTGTTCTTGGATTAAAACACCACTGAAATGCTGGGAGCAATACCCCTCCAGACACAGCCACTCAAGAAAACCCTATAATCTGCTTTCTCCCCTCCTCAGGTACCCTTCCCTATGTCCCCCCTTAATCTCCCATGCATAAAACAAACAGCAAAGCTGTCCTCCCAAGCACTTGAGGTCTTGCTCTCAGGCATATCCTTGTGTCAGGTAAAAGCTTTAGAAACGTTCTCTGCAGGCTGGGACATCTCTCCCATCACAAGTCAGATGAGGCAGGTGAACAAGGACCAGGTGAACCCTGAGGTTGCACAGGTGGCTGGGATTCAAGCCATATTCTCCCAGGAGCTCACCTGTGTGGAATGCCTGCTGGCATGGAGCCCGTGCCACCTCCCCATTCTCACCGCTGCCAAAGCCAGAAGATGGCAGGCTCGGGGGCAGGCCCCTCCTGGTGCTGGGCACCCTGCACAGTGACGAGAGCAGCCACTGCTGTGTGACAGCTGGAGAGGTGGCGCCACCCCTCCCCAGGGGGAGTCGTCACAGCCCATTGCTGAGCTCTGAGCCAGCTCCGTGCTCACTACCTGCCTGCATATATGCATCTTGTCCTCCTATCCGCTGGTACAGGAGCCAGGGAAGGGGCTTGCCAGGGCCTCCCAGCCAGGAAGTGGCAGAGCCATGAGTCAAAGCCAGGAGGAGCAGGACCCAAACCCCAGCTCAAGGCCACCGTGCCCCACAGCCTCAGGCGCGGCGTCTGTGGGCGGGGCAGAACCGGCCTGTGGTCTGGCCTCCCCGCCCAGCTTCCCTCGCAGCCACAAGGCAGGCTTCCCCTTTTCTCGCTGCTCAGAGGGGCTTTCCTCCGGCGTGGGCTCCGGCTCCTCCAGCTCCCAGTCCCGCCAGGAGGCCTGGGATCCTCCTAAAGCGACGCCCGGCGCCACAGACTGAACATTCATGTCTTCCAAAACTCAACCAAACCCCCGGCAGCCGCCATGAAGAGGTGGGGCCTTAGGGAAGTGCTCAGGTCAGCAGGGCGGAGCGGATTAACGCCTGATGAGAGATGGGAGAGAACTTTCTCTTTCTCTCTCTTCCTCCTTGCCGGGAAAGGACTGTGAGAAGACGGCCATCCACGAATGGGAAGCGGACCCTCCCCAGACAGTGAGTCTGCTGGCACCCAGTGGACCTGTGCGGTTATAAGCCACCCCATCTATGGGGTCTGCCAGGCGGCCCCAATGGACTGTCATCGGGACTGGACTCTGGGACTGCTGAGATCACAACTGAGTGTCAGGAGGACAAAGGAAGCGAGTCAGCTTCTCTTCTCAGGAAGCTCCAGGCTCTCAGCCCTAATGTGATCAGCAGTGGGCAGAGGCCCCGGGGCCGGGACAGGGGCACCCGAGGTCACTGTCTGCCGGGGTCACTGCAGCATCTCCAGGGTCCAGCCTCTTCCTGTGTCAGGGTGATGCACCTTGTTGACCTTTAGCACAGCTGATGCTGCTGGCGTTTACCGGATGTCCTGCTTTTCAAATCAAGTTCCTTTGCTCCCCAGCCACCCCCAAATTGGATGCTCCCACTCTCCTCTTATAGGTCCCAAACGTGCCACTGCTGCCATCCTCAGCACTTTCCTGAGAGGTGGGGAATGCTGTCCCCACGTTACAGATAAAGGCGAGTGGCTATGGACAAGTACGTAACCTATCCGAGCCTGTTCACAAAATGGGGATAAGAGCCTCGCTCCTTGGGCTGCTGTGCAGGTGAAATGCACCCACAGAGCCAAGCCAGAGCCTGGCAGTGCCTGGTGGTGACTGTTTTGTGTAGCTCAGCAGCCCCCAGGCCACTCTCTCGCTCCCTCTTTTCATCAGGCTGGGGAGAAACGAGGTAGACACGAGCCCAGTGAGGGAGGGAGGTGTCCTGAGGAATGTATCCCAGCTCCCAGGGCCCAGGTGGGTGGTCCCTAGTCTATGGGCAAGGCCACACCTGAGCCCTGAACAGAAAGAGCCTTCCTCCGGGGACCGCTGTGCCTGGGGCCTGTCACCCTGATTCTGACTCAAGTAGGGAACCGTGTGGCCCGGGCCTGGCTTGTGGAAATGGGCCCACCTGATCACACGGCACCGAGGGAATGGATGCCCAGAGTGGCAGCAAAGCTTGAGGGCATTGGTAGGTTTGACAAGGACCACAGCTGGGTGCCTTAGGATCAAGGAGGGCACATGGTCAAGATTCAGGATCAGTCCGCCTGGGTTGGGGATCAGGGACCTTGGGTTTAAGAGGCTCCCCGGCTGATTCTGAGGCCACAGAGGAAGGCTGCGCTGGAGAAGGCAGCTCTGGTCACACCCAGCTCCTCTCTCAGCTCGCAGCTGAGTCAAGGAGATGCTTTTCCACTGAGGCTGCCCAAGGGACCTTCACCTCCCAGATCAAGTCCACATCCCCAGGAACTTTGGGGACTGCCCTCCCCTTATCTCCTGCCCAGTGCCCCCCGTCTTCAATAGTCATTCTCCAGGCTTATTTCTGCACATGCTGTCTCATCCCCTAGGGTTGTGATCGGCAAACTGCGGCTCTTTGGCCCCTTGAGTGTGGCTCTTCCACAAAGTACCACGGCCTGGGCGAGTCTGTTCTGAAGAAGTGGCTTTAGAAGAAGTTTAAGTTTAAAAAAAATTTGGCTCTCAAAAGAAATTTCAATCGTTGTACTGTTGATATTTGGCTCTGCTGACTGATGAGTTTGCCGACTACTGGACTAGGGCTGTCCTCCCCATAAAGGGCCTGGCAGAGATACTAAGATCAGACTATCCCTTGTCCTCTCCAAGAGGCTTTACAAGGGCTGGCTGGACGCCACCCGCCACCTCCTCCTCTCCCCTCATGCACAAGCCTGAAGAACGCTTCTGACACTCCTTGGCGATCATTGCTCTTTAAGCCCAATCCTCCCTTCCAACCTACTTTTACACTTAGGAGTCCGCACACACCAGTTGCTCAGTAAAAATACGGAGAGAGGATGGGAGGAGGGGAGGAAGAGAAACAAGAAGAGATTTTGTTATGAGCTCAGATGGCCTAAGGACGAGGAGAAGCATTCCACTCTAGGGCTGCCTACAAGTCAGAACTCTCGGGCAGGCGATGCAGCCTTCGCGGTCCAACCCGCGAATGGGGAACATGCAAGTACCCACCTCCATGACGGCACAGCTACATGGGATAACCCTGGCTACAGAGGAGAATGGTGCCTGACACCGGGTAACCCCCTGCGGTAATAACTATCATTCCGTTCTGGCTGAAGAGCTCCCCGGATCCCCCTACAGACCCCCTGGCACACAGCAGCCTTCAGCAAGGGTTGTACGGACAAGACTGTCGCCAATCCTCACGCTTTCAAATGCAGCCTCCCGCGTACACATTTGGAAACCGGTCCCGGGCACGGGGTGGGGAGGACGCAATCTGTGCTCCCTGCAGACCTGGGGAATACGTCGAGGGGAGGAGCGCCCCGGCGGTGGATACCACCCACGCCAGGCCTCCCGGGTCTGGGCCAACTCGTGACTCAGCCCGGCGCCGGCCGCCTGTTTGGCGGGGATAATGACAGGGCAGCTGCTGGGGTCAGCGCTCCGCCCCCGCGAGGCCCCCTCCCCAGGCCCGCCCGGGGGAAAACAAAGCAAAGCCATCAGAACCCGGGACCCAGACCCCAAACCCGGCCAAGCCCGTCCGAGAAGCCACGCGTGGCTCCCCACAGGGAAGGGGGACTCGGTCCCCGAGGGCTACCCGATCCCGGCTCGGATCCTCACCTAGAACCTTGAGCTCCAAAGGAGAGATCGGGAGCTCCAGGCCGGTCCCGCGGCCTTAGGGGGCGCTGTGAAGATGTGGCAGGGAGGCACCGGGGCCTCCACCCGCACAGGGTACCTGCTCCCAGCTCCAAACCGGCTCACCTCGTCCCGATGCGCCGCCCGGCCGGGTTCCTGGGTCTCTGGGTTCTGCCACCACGGCCAGGTCAGCTGACCCCGGGCGAAGCCCCGCCCCCGCGCCTAGGCCCCGCCCCTCGCGCCGCGAGCCGGCCCAACAGTCCCCGGGGCGGCGCTCGTGGGCACAGCTCGCGCGGAGGGAATCGACGCTCCAGGTCCCTGGTCTCCTCTCCCGCGCCGCCACCGCCCCCTCCGGGCTCCTCCCCACCTCCCCCTCCGGGCTCCTCCCCGCCGCCCCCTCCGGCTCCTCCCCGCCGCGGGGGGCGGGGTCCCCGGCGCCCCAGCGTGCAGGCGCGCACTCCATGCTGCGCGCGGTGTCTCGCGCTGTGGGCCGCGCCGCGGTTCGCTGCGCTCGTGGCCGCGGGTCCCCGCAGGCCCGCCGCGCCGGTGCCGCCGCCGCCATGTCCCGGCCGCCGCCGCGGCCCGCCTCGGGCTCCCCGGCCCGGCCGGCCACCGTGCTGGGCACTATGGAGATGGGGCGCCGCATGGACGCGCCCGCCAGCGCCGCGGCCGTGCGCGCCTTCCTGGAGCGCGGCCACACGGAGCTGGACACGGCCTTCATGTACAGCGACGGCCAGTCCGAGAGCATCCTGGGCGGCCTGGGGCTCGGCCTGGGCGGCGGCGACTGCAAAGGTAACGCTGGTGCCCGCGCCCGGCCCCTCTGACTCCCCCCTGCCCCGTGCAGGACGCTGGCCAGGCCCGGGCCACTGTGCACCGGCCGCGGTCGGGACCCACAGCGTCGCCCCCTCCACTGGCCGCCTGGCAACTTTGTGAATTGAATCCCGGCTCCTCAGGCCCGGGGCACGGATAGCCCCGACAGCTAGGCAGTGCTTGGTCCTGATCACCTCTTCCTTCCCTTCTCCTTTAGGGGTTGCAACTCGGGAACCCCCAAATCTGGTCTATCCCTTAGCTTTCTGCCCTTTTGCTTTCTTGGGGCACCTCTCCGAGGCACTGGCCTCCAGAGCTATGCTGTCCACACCTCCAATCGTGCCTGGCGCCCATAACCAGGCCCAGGTGCCTTGCCTATGCTCCCCGAGTACCCTTTTCTCACCCTAGACTTTGCTCGGTTCGGTTGGCAGCCCCTAGACTTTGCCCGGTTCGGTTGGCAGTCCCTAGACTTTGCCCAGTTCCGTTGGCAGTCCCTTTGGCGCTCTCAGGGAGAGCTGTAGCGATGCAGTAGCAGGCTGGGCTGAGGGGGGCAGAGATGGAGGTGTGAGGGGGTCAGATAGCCCATGCCAGGCTTTGTTTTGGGGTCATAGGAAGGAAAGTGACTAACACCTTAGTGTAGTGGTGAAGATTGAAGCCAGGGATTACTGGGGCACCCCGGAGGGGCAGCACGGTGGGGAAAGGAGAGGAGGGGGCGCCAGGACAGGGAGCAGGAAGGGGAAGAGAACATGGAGCTGGGCCCTAAGGGATCAGTAGTGGTTTGCTGGGCAGAGAGTGGCTGAAAGGGGCATTCGAGCTGAGGGCACCGCTGTGCCAAGACTAGGATTGGAAATGCAAAGTGCCTGGGGTGAGGAGGTGTTACAGGATTCCAGGGAAGAGGGGTAGGGAAACTGAGAAAGGGAAGTTAACACAAGACCAAGCTGTGGGCAGTTTGCAGCCAGGTTGTAACTAAAAAACCATTATCTTCCCCAGCCAAGGACACTGAGCAAAGGATTTAAAAGACCTCCCTAATGAGAGATGCAGAAAGGGAGGGGAGAAAGGGGAGAGGAAAAAGGACAGTCTTACTCTCTAAGCAGAGAAGCCAGCATTCTGAGGGCTTGGCAAGATCACGTTGCCAGGTGCTTTTCAGGAATTCTGGGAAGGCCACAACAAAATAAAAAAAGGGACCTTGAGAATTAATCTGTATCAAAACAGCAGAGAAATTTTGAAGCCTATAGACAGGAGGGTATATAACATCTCAGACCCCTACCCAATTTGCTCTTAAGATTAACTGAGCCGGGACTGGTTTGGCTCAATGGATAGAGCGTCGGCTTGGAGACTAAAAGGTCCCAGGTTCGATTCCGGTCAAAGGCATGTACCTTGGTTGTGGGCATATCCCCAGTAGGGGGTGTGCAGGAGGCAGCTGATCGATGACTCTCTCTCATCAGTGTTTCTAACTCTCTATCTCCCTCCCTTCCTCTCTATACAAAATCAATAAAATATATTTAAAAAAAAAAAAGATTAACTGAGAGCCTGTCTGTGCTTCCTATGCCAAATGAATATAAGGTTTGCTCACTTTCCTTTTGCTTTTTTCAATAAGGATCCATGCTTTAATTACTTTATTTATTTTTTAAATATATATTTTATTAAATTTTTACAGAGAGGAAGAGATAGATAGAGTTAGAAACATCGATGAGAGAGAATCATCGATCAGCTGCCTCTTGCACATCTCCTACTGGAGATGTGCCCACAACCAAGGTACATGCCCTTGATCGGAATCGAACCCGGGACCTTTCAGTCCACAGGCTGACGCTCTATTCACTGAGCCAAATTAGTCTTGGCTGCTTTAATTACTTTAATGCGGCGGGGTGCTTCTCCTTTTTCCGCGTCCCGCACGGAAAGGGAGAAGGACAGGTTCCTGAGTGGAGGAGCTGGGGATTAAGAAATAAAAGAAAGCTGAAACCGGTTTGGCTTAGTGGATAGAGCATCGGACTGCGGACTGAAGGGTCCCAGGTTCGATTCCGGTCTAGGGCATGTACTGTGGTTGCGGGCACATCCCCAGTGGGGGCTGTGCAGGAGGCAGCTAATCAATGTTTCTCTCTCATCAATGTTTCTAACTCTCTATCCCTCTCTCTTCTCTGTAAAAAAATCAATAAAATATATATAAAGAAATAAAAGAAAGAAAAAGACAAGAGGCAGAAATAGATCCAAAAGCTGGGTGCCAGGTGGAGGCTGTCACTCTGTGAAGGGACAGTCAACACCCACCACAGACAGCACAGCGCATTTATTGATTTCCAGAGGGGTTTAAGGTCAAAGAACTTTTGGGTGTGCCCAGGTCCTATTCATTCCCTCATTCCTGGGATTTAGCATATCAAAACCTGGATAAGTCAAGATCCTATTTGTTCCTCATTCCAAACACATGGAAAAAGATAAGAAATCAGTACTGATAAAGATCTCCTACATTTTGGGAGGTTGTTTCTGGGGGATGGCCTTGCCAGTCACCTTGGACTCAGCTGACATTAATTTAAAGGTCATCCATGTGCATTCTCTACACTTTAATAAATTGGCTCTTCACAACACAGGGTTTCTCGTATAAATTCATTTATATATGAAAAGACAAGAATCAAGGTTGGGGACAGCCCTCTCCCACTGGCTCAGGGGGCTGTCCTGTCTGGGAACTCCTCTCTAGTGTCGGTAAGAGGTGCCTATAACAGAAGGACGGCCAGCAGGCAGGTGTAGTTTGAAAAGGAGAAGTGCGTGTATTTGTGTGTGTGTGTGGAGGGGCTGACTGTCCCTCATTAGCCCGATGCCATTACAAGTGACTAGTACGATGCGTATAGTGGGGCCCAGCAAACGCTAGCTAGTATTGTTGTAGTGCTGCCTGTCACTACTTAAGCCAATTTATCAGAGACAGCGTTGAACCATATGAGCGTTTATTCCAATCATGCACGCAGTATGGGAGAGCAGCTGGTCATCCACAAAAATCTCTTCAACCTCCCATAAGCCAGCTGCTTATAGTGGGGAGGGCAAAGATTACCTGGGGATGTAGGCCGGGAGGGCTGGGGTGGGACTCTTGTTTGAAAGTTAAGATTGTTAATCTTTCTGTGATAATTGGCAGTTTTTGAATGAGAATGGCCCCCATTCCAAAGGTGACTCCCGGGCCTCAGGGGCGCACTACTCCCTGCCCGGTTAGAATGTGCTTTCTTTAGTCAGAACAAAACATTCACGGTTAACAGAGCATGATTAATATTTCTTATAACAACGTAAAAACATTCAAACCTGTAAAGAATTTCTGTGAGTTTATTTGAGCCAAGCTGTCGACCGTTGCCAGGAAGCAGAATCTCAGAGGACTGGGATAATGCTCCGGAGAAGGTGGTTTTTCACTGTTGTGGGGTTGAACCCTGGGTTCAAAATAAGACCACCTGATTAATGAATTAAAAAAAGCAGGCAAGGATTTATTGAACTGGCCAGGACAGCCACAAGAGCACCACACACAGGTGGACTTCAAATGACTGTCCCGTTTCAGGGGTAGGCAATTCCTTCTAAAGGTATAAACCGCAAGAATTTTCCTTTTGTTCCTAAATCCTAAAGACTAAATTCTAAAGACTGGGGTCGGTTCCCAGTCACATCCTGCTGGACATTGGAATGTGGCCCTATCTTGCGATAGCGATAACACAGAAGCAGAGCTCAGCGGTTAGTCTCTAAAGGTTATCTACAGTTTCTATCCCTGAAGCTACTGAGTCAGTGGGAATCAATCTCCTGTGGTCCTGGTCCCAGGCAAGGGAAAATTGCCTTAGCCTCCAAGTCTCCACCTGGAAGCTGAGGTAAGTACCCAGTGTTTTAATCAGGTGCAAGAGCCAGACTTAGCAGGGTTAAAATTCAAACAGCAGTTTTTATCAAAGTATGGTTGCCACTATATTTTATTCACCTTGTTTTATACATTACAATCAGAGGAGGAGACTAAGTGGGTTCCATGAACTCCACTGGTGATAGATTAGAGAGGCGGGAGCCAGCAAAGGGGGCGTGGTGGGGGGTTGGGGGGGTGGAGAGGACATCTCTGGGATTGGATAAAAAGTAAAATGATAAGACAGTATTTCTTTTACTGAGGTGGGCACAGGATAGTTAACAGGCAACAATTAATATAACAATAACAATGAAGGAATTGTGGCTTCTGTCTTGGCATTTGGTTGTGCCCTGAGGGGTCCAGAAAAAAGGGAATTTACAAGTTAACCCAGACAGTTCAAGGCTATGCAAAAGGCAGATTGGCTCAGCGAAGGTAAAGATTGACCTTGTCAGGGAAGATGTCAGTCTAAGCCTAGGACGGATCTACCCACCATCACTGCTTTTTTCTTTCTTTCTTTAAAAAAAAAAAAAAAAAAAAAAAAAAAAAAAAAATATATATATATATATATATATATATATATATATATTATTGTTTTTTACAGAGAGGAAAAGAGAGGGATAGAGAGTTAGAAACATCAATGAGAGAGAATCATTGATCAGCTGCCTCTTGCACACTCCTTACTGATGATGTGCCCGCAACCAAGGTACATGCCCTTGACCGGAATCGAACCTGGGACCTTTCAGTTCGCAGGCTGACGCTCTATCCACTGAGCCAAACCGGTTTCAGCACCATCACAGCTTTTAAAGTTTTAATTTCAGACCATCTTTGTGGTTACTTTAGGTCTTAAAATTTGCAAGACCGCCATGCAGGCCTTCCCTGAGCTTGTCGGTTTAGCATGAGGCCCCTTTTGTCCACATAGTCCCCAATATTCTATTTTTGCCTCTAACCCTGCCACACTTTGCCTCTGAGCCTCTTCTTTCCCAGCCCTTGTGGGGCTTCCCCTCTGGGCCCTTAGGTTCATGGCTTGGTGGGTCTGGAGGAACCGACTGAGAACGTGTATCTCAGGCCAGGTGTATCTCAGGCTCACACTTTCCAGTTCACCTGGCTGCCTCTCGTGGATAATGCAGGTTTTGTTTCTGAATTGGTGTTTCTCTTCCAGTCCTTCTCTGCTCCTTTTTTGAGACCAGGCTCCCTGGGCCAAAGTCCTCAGGTCGGATCCGAGGCAAAGTTCGCGCTAAGCTTGTAGGGGAATGGAGAACTGGGCCTTGTTCCCTCATGTGAAGTGGTCTGATGATTTCCCTCCAAACTGCTGAGTTGCCTTTGGCAAGTGTGAAAAGTGCAGACTCCATCCACCCACCAGTCCAGACAGCCAGCATTCTTCAGAGCATCCCCACGCTGCCTGCGTGGCAGAGCACTGTCTCATTCTCGTGGCGACGGTGTCTCTGCAGTGGGGTGTGTGTGTGTGTGTGTGTGCGCGCGTGCGTGCATGCTTCCATGAGTCTGGAAGGGGAGGGAAACTATTATGTAATTGCCTTCTGCTCATTTTGCCTTCTGCTTGTCTCTCAAAGGCAGACACACCTCAGCCCTAAATTCTCCCAGCAGCCTCTTTAGTTGTCTTGATATTTCCAGGCCCGCCCCCTTGAGTTTTTCCTGCGTACTGCAGCCCGAGTGCTGAACGCATGCTGCTTTGGATGATGGTATCTGAGAAAGCCCTCTGGGCTTAGGCCTGTGCCCTTTCTCTACTCTCTCGTCCCATTGCTCCATGCCTGGAGTTTATGCTCTTGTCACTCAGAATTGCCAAGTATGGCCCTTCACAGACTGTGTTGACTTGTGTTTGATTTTGCCTGTGTTCTCACCCTCTGGAATGTGCTTCCTGTCCTTCCTTGTTGACTCAGCTTGGGGATTAGCCCACAGGGAAGCCTTCCCTGGCAGTCCCAGGCTGAACACACACCTCTTCTCTGGGCTCCTTTGGCAGTGGAGCTTTTCAGTGCATTTACTGGATTGTAACCTCGCCTTCTAGACGCTGAGCTCCTTGAGGGTAGAGATCGAGTGTGTTTAGTTCATCTCAGTGTACTCAGCTTCCAGTGCAAGGCTTGGCACAGCCAGCAGTTTGATGACTAATAGTCTATATGCATATATATATGTCTAAGTGACTGAAGAACCACACTGACCACCAGGGGGCAGATGCTCAATGCTGAAGCTGCCCCCTGGTGGTCAGTGAGCTCCCACAGCCAACCTCCCATAGTCCGTCCCTGTGTGTGTGTGTGTGTGTGTGTGTGTGTGTGTGTGTGTGTCCCCGCCCCAGCTGGCACCATATGGGTCCTAATTGGGACTGGGTGAGATGGCCCTGATTGGCCCTGATTGCTGACCAGGCTGAAGGACCCCACTCATGCACGAATTCATGCACCGGGCCTCTAGTAGTTACTGTAACAGCAGTGAACATTGAGAACTTACATGTACGATCATGTAGTTCATCCTTATGATCTCCCAATAAAGACGGCACCATTATTATGCCTATTTTACAGGTTATAGACTTGAGGCTCAGGGAGCTTAAATAATTTAGCCAGGGTCACGTGGCTAACAAGTGGTTATATTAAGTCTCTCAACTATTACATTCTCCCCCAAAGTGAAAATCGCCACTAAGGCCAATCCCTGGGATGGGAAGTCCCTGAAGCCGGACAGCCTCCGGTCGCAGCTGGAGACATCACTGAAGCGGCTGCAGTGCTCCCAGGTGGACCTGTTCTACCTGCACGCGCCTGACCACGGCACGCCCGTGGAAGAAACGCTGCGCGCCTGCCACCAGCTGCACCAGGAGGTGAGGGTGGTGCCCTGAGCTCCGGGAGGGGGTCTGTGCTCCCTCTGGCCTGTCATTACCCAGGAGAGCGGAGGCTCCAGGGCTGTCCTAAAGGGTCACTTCCAGCTCCTCACTGTGGTCTTGTCTTCCTGGGCTCCTGGGATATGTTGGGTGCTGACCAACCCCTCTCCCCTGCAGGGCAAGTTTGTGGAGCTTGGCCTCTCCAACTACGCAGCCTGGGAGGTGGCTGAGATCTGTACCCTCTGCAAGAGCAACGGCTGGATCCTCCCCACCGTGTACCAGGTGCGGGGCAGGTCTGCGGAGGCCTCGGTCTCCAGAGCTCCTGCTGATCCCGACTTCTCTTGGCCCCTCTGACTGATCCCATGTCCTCTCCACAGCATCCATTCCCCTACTCACAGCCTGCATATGAGCCCCAGGTGCCCTCGGGATGACATGCAAGCTCCTCAGCCTGGCCAGCCGGTACCCGCTCGCTCTGGCTCTGGCTCTGGCTCTCCTTTTTGCTTACCTTGGTCCCATCCTTCCTGCTTCCTTGCTCTGCACGTCAGCCTGGAACACTCCTCCCCTTCGCCCTGGTAGAAGTGCTCTTTCCTGATGCCCCAGCGGGGCCTCTGATCTCCAGATCTAATCATCATGTTCCGTGAGCACCTGCCATAATCCTAGAATCCTTTGTTGTCATCATCTGTCTCCTCTACCTGTCTTTAACTCGCCTCTAACATCTCTGGGGGACAGAGACTTGCTGGACTTCCTTGTGTGTGGAAGCCCAGTGGCCCGCCCACAGTGGCGCCCGCAGATATTTGTGGAATGATAGCTCTCGTCTAGTTTCCCTTCCTGGGGCCCAACGCTGTCTCCCCCTCCCCTACCACTGCTCTGGGAATGATCTGGGAAATCATTGCTGAAGTCCTGGGCAGGTTTTAAAAGGAGGTTGCTGGGCCGAAACCGGTTTGGCTCAGTGGATAGAGCGTCGGTCTGTGGACTGAAAGGTCCCAGGTTCGATTCCGGTCAAGGGCATGTACCTTGGTTGCGGGCACGTCCCCAGTAGGGGGTGTGCAGGAGGCAGCTGGTCGATGTTTCTCTCTCATCAATGTTTCTAACTCTCTATCCCTCTCCCTTCCTTTCTGTAAGAAATCAATAAAATACATATTAAAAAAGATAAATAAAAAAAGAAAAGGAGGCTGCTGGGGTCCCTTTCCCTTGACTTGTGCACCCCGTCCAGCCGGCCCTTCTCCCTGCAGGGCATGTACAACGCCACCACCAGGCAGGTGGAAACGGAGCTCTTCCCCTGCCTCAGGCACTTCGGCCTGAGATTCTACGCCTACAACCCTTTGGCAGGTACGGCTGTAGGGACAAGGCTCCTCCTGGGGCCGGTGGGCATTCCTGGCCCTGGGGGGCAGGGAGGTGTTTGACAAGAGGCTGGGCTGTGTCTTCCATCCTTCCTGGTCCCCCAACCCCTGTCCAGTCCAGAAGAGCCTCTGGGAACAAGGCAGGTCAGGGGGTTTGATGGCAGCCTTCCCCCAGGGGGCCTGCTGACCGGCAAGTACAAGTATGAGGACAAGGACGGGAAACAGCCTGTCGGCCGCTTCTTTGGGAATACCTGGTCTGAGATCTACAGGGACCGGTGAGTGGAGAAGTCTGCATTGGGGGGCTTGGGGGTGGGGGCTGTTGTCCTGTTATCTGAGTGGAGGAGTTGCAGGCTGCTTTCCTGTGGGCTCCAGGCCTTCCCGTGCAGCCGGGACCTATGTGTCTGGATTCCTGCAGGGATTCCCACACCCTCTGTGGGGTTCTTGTTTTCTTGGGACCTCTGGGAGGAAATGAGGGCCCCTGGACCTAATGCCAGGTGTTCCAGGTCACTGTTCCAGGGAAATGCTCATCACCCGCCAAGAGGGAAGGAAAGAGCCCTGGATTGAGGCTCAGGAGGTCTGGGCCCCCTGCACCAGCTGCCTTTGCTCCCTGGGAAAGTGAGGGGAGGCTCTGTGTTCTCGGGAATAAAGATGTTGTGAAGGTCTCTGGTGAAGGGCCACATCCTGAGTGGTTCTGCTGTCTAATAAGGCAAGAGACCCATTGCTAGAGAGGACACTGCCCTCCACCACCCTAGACCCCATGCTGTGGGGTTGGGGTGGGCACAGCTGCCCTGGTTGGCTCTTTGCTTGTGGCCCCCAGTGTGACTGACCCCATGTTACTGACCTCTGTGCCACCCCCCTCACCTGCCCAGCTTCTGGAAGGAGCACCACTTCAAGGCCATTGCCCTGGTGGAGAAGGCCCTGCAGGCTGCATATGGCACCAGTGCCCCCAGCATGACTTCAGCTGCCTTGCAATGGATGTACCACCACTCACAGCTCCAGGTAACCCAGCCATCCCAGGAGGCTGTGCTTCTGTTTTCCCTTTTTTGGAGGGGTAAGGGAGGGAAGAAGAATGGGAGAAGGGAGAGGGCTACACAGTTATTTGGTGACTTGAGATTACTTCTTTGCTTTCTCTGAAATCTCTCCATGGCCCAGTTCTTTTGGGTGGTAATCTTGTTTTTAAGTTCCTTTAGTGCTCTGTCACAATATTATACTATTGGCCTTATTAGGTTTAGCACTAATTTTATTTTTTCATCCTCACTCGAAGACTGATTTTTTTTTTTTTTTTCTTTTTTCTTTTAAGAGAAGGAAGGGAGCCGAAACCGGTTTGGCTCAGTGGATAGACCATTGGCCTGTGGACTGAAAGGTCCCGGGTTCGATTCTGGTCAAGGGCATGTACCTTGGTTGTGGGCACATCCCCATTAGGGAGTGTGCAAGAGGCAGCTGATCGATGATTCTCTCTCATCAGTGTTTCTAACTCTCTATCCCTCTCTCTTTCTCTCTGTAAAAAAATCAATAAAATATATTTTTTAAAAAATAACAGATTAAAAAAAAGTAAGAGAAGGAAGGGTGATGGGTGGGGTGGAGAGACAAACATTGATGCAAGAAACATTGATTGGTTGCCTCCAGTATGTGCTTCAACTGGGGATCAAACCTGCAACCTAGGTGTGTGCCCTGACCAGGAATCGAACCTGCAGCCTTTTGGTGTACTGGATGATGCTCCAACCAATTGAGCCACTCAGCTAGGGCAACTTAATCCCAATTTTATTGAGGAAACTGGCTCAGAGGCTATTTCACTTGAGGGTCCACTGGTACATGTGACTGGGCATGGACATCTGAGATCTACATTTTTTAGCCATTAGCATTTATTCCATCCTTGGCTGCCGGCTCTGCAGCGCCCAGCTCTGTCCCTGGTGGGCTTGTCCTCTCCCTGTTGTCCTGTTTCCTCTCCCCCAAAGGGGCATTATCTGGCTCCCTTTACTGAGCACCTGTTAAATGCCAGGCCTTAAAGTACTTCACAAAAGTTTAATTTCCACAATCAGCCTGCGAAGTTCACAGAGAGGTTAAGTAACCCAGGTTTACCCAGCTGCTGAGTGCAGAGGCTCTGAACTTGGGTCTGTCTGCTGATGAGGCTGGAGGGAGGGCTTTATTTATTTTTTATTTTTAAAATATATTTTATTGATTTTGTACAGAGAGGAAGGGAGAGAGATAGAAGGTTAGAAACATCGATGAGAGAGTCATCGATCAGCTGCCTCTTGCACACTCCCCACTGGGCATATGCCCGCAACCAAGGTACGTGCCCTTGACCGGAATCGAACCCGGGACCCTTCAATCCCCAAGCCGACACTCTCTATCCATTGAGCCAAACTGGTTTCGGCGGGAGGGAGGGCTTTAAAGCTGTTAGAAGGCAAGGTAAGTTTTTTCTGGAGTAAAAGAGGGTATATACAGACATCAGACCCAAATCCGGCTGGGGCAGGGCTGGCGGGTGTGCATGACGGCAGCACTGTGTACTGGTGTGTTAATGTCTATCCATCTCCCCTTCCAGGGCTCCCACAGGGATGCTGTCATCCTGGGCATGTCCAGCCTGGAGCAGCTGGAGCAGAACCTGGCAGCGACCGAGGAAGGGCCCCTGGAGCCAGCCGTTGTGCAGGCCTTTGATCAGGCCTGGCACCTGGTTGCCCATGAATGTCCCAACTACTTCCGTTAGGCCTCGTCCTGACGAGGTGGCAGAGGGTCCCTTTCGTTCTCACCCTGGCCTTAAGCGTCTTTGTTTAGCCTGTTCTTTCTCATCATCTGTTCACAAATGTTTCCTATATTCTTGGAATACTCCCAGTTGCCTTCACAAAGTGTCAAGGCTGGGGCTGAGTTGCTCCAGCATTTCCTATCTGAATAAAGCAGGCACTGGGGTGGCCCAGGCCGCAGCACATCTGGTGAGCTTGTTTCTTCTGCTGCCAGCAGCCTGTCTTCCTAAGGGCTGGGGAGAAGGGCGCAGGAGTATGGACCCCCATTGAAGGACAGAGGCAGTGGGAAGGGCTTCCCGCCTCCTGCGCTGACTGTAGGCTGACCTCTCTCAGGAGGGATTGCAGGTGGCCATTGAACCTGAAGTAGGTTTTCTGTTCAGAAATGGTCTCACGGAGTCATTTACAAATAGAACAATTTGGGCAAAAAACCCCCACTATCATTAGAGTCACCACCAAGACCTCCCAGGATTCTCATTAACACTCGATTTCCCCAGGGGCTTTACTGTGGTCCCAGCTAAAGCCTCTGTCACTTGGTCCTCCAGAAGCTTGTCAGCTCTGGTTTGGGAGTATGTGTAGGGGTAGGAATAGCAGCCAAACTGCCTGTTTTTCTTTGTATAAAATGTTTCTATTTTATTGATTTTAGAGAGAGAAAGGGGCCTGGAGAGAAACATCAATGAGAAACATAGATCAGCTGCCTCTTGCCCACCCCTTACTGGGGATTGAGCCCACAACCTGGGCAAGTGCCCTGACTGGGAATTGAACCAGCAACCTCTCAGTGCATGGCACGATGCTCAACTGAACCATGCCAGTGAGGGCCAGCGTGCCTGATTTTCTCAGCAAACTTGTTTCAAGCAAGGGCACTGAGGGCCAGGGAAGAGAAGCCCAAGGCTGCTCTCCTGGGCTCAGAAGTCTCACAGGAACTAGTGCTGGAAGCTGATGCAGGTGGTGAAAAGGAGCCCCAAGAATCCGAACAAAAGTCCAAACCCAAAGGCCTTTTTTCCGAGAAAAGTTCCTTTGCCATCTACAGGGAGACACCCTACAGACAGTTTTATTCTTTGTAGGGAAACAGTCTGTCCCTATCGCCCTTTTGTCTTCATCACAGCAACAAATAGCTGCTCCAAGAGGGGCAGCATCAGTCCAGTGTGGTCAGGATGACAGCTGGCATGGCTGGGTGGCCCTCAGTCCACGTGCCCATCATCAGTCATCATCTTCCTCTGACTCTTCTGCCGACTCGGACGCGCTCTCTGGCAAGTCATCTCCCATCTGTTGGAACCTTCCAGACTGTGCATCCCACATGTATTTGATGGTCACCTTGAATTCAGCCATCTCATAGCCGAAAAGCTTCTGCAAGAGACAAAGGAACCGAGTCAGGAGGAGCGGGTGAGATCAGGAGTCTGTCCCTCCCGCTACACAGTCTGCAGACCGCTGGGAGGGCCCAGGCCCGGCTCACCAGGACGCGCGCCTGCTCGGGGGTCAGCACGTCGCCCTCCTTGCACACCTCATAGTCGGACAGCAGGGTCACCACACCTACGGGGAGGAGGGGGGGAGGAGGGGGGGGGCGGGGGCGGGGGGGGGGGGGGCAGCAGTTATTTCTGGCAGAGTTTGCTGTCCGCTCCCAGTTGGGAGGAATCTGCTTCTCCCCACCAATGCAGCACACACAGGGGCAAGGATTAATCTGCTCAGCAGCCTCCCCCATCATCTCCCAAGTTACTGTCAACCATGAGGCAGACACTCAGCCCCGCTTTCTCATGAGAGAATGGAAGCTGGTAGAAATAACCTGCTCAGCCAGAAAGGGGGGGAGCGGGGCCTGTCAGGTTTGGGGGCCTGTGCTCTTGGCCACTCGGCTGTGATCTTTCAGCTCCAGGGGCCTCCCCGTACCTTTCTTGAGGGCGGTGGGCAGGCCGAGCTGCCTCAGCTGTGGCTCCATGGAGTGGGGGAACTGCTCCAGGGGCCCCGGGTCCAGGTTCACGGTGAATGTCGCTTTGTTTCCAGCTCGGGCGTAGTCCATTTCCGCATATTTCGTGAACCACCTTAGGAGAAGGAAAAGCGTTGGAGGGGAGATTCCTCACTGGCCGCCATATCAGCCCACCGGAAGTCAGTGCTAGGAACAAAGACTTGGTAATGGGTTCCAGGAACCAGCTCATGTCTCCACTGGACAAAGTCCCTGGATTATTCCTTCCCCAGAGTCCTCACCACCTCTCTTCCCCACCATGCCTCCAACACTCACTCATTTACTTCCTCCTTCGTGCGATTGGTGAAAAGGAGGCCAACTTCACCCCTCAACTTCTTGCTGACCTAAAGGACCGAAGGGCAGGTCGGGTCGCATTAGAGGAGTGGTTTTAGACTGGGGACAGTTTTCACCCCGCCCCTCACATTTGGCAATACCCGGAGGCATTTTAGATGGTCACAGCTGGACCGAAGTTAAAGGAGAGCTGGTGCTTTAAGCCAGACCTTGCTTTCCCCAGCCGGCTGGGATGCATGTCCTGTCAGAGCAGCAGGGGAGAAGGCAGCGGCAGCTTTGGCCCCTCCTGGTGAGGGCCAGACTCACCTGATGGAGGTTGTCTTTGTATTCATCCGCTGGGCTTCGACCTAAGGCCACCATCATCACTTTGTTTTTGCCAAAGAACATCCTGCAGAGAGAGGTGGTGTCCGTGAAGAAGGTGGCCTGCCTCAGTTAAGAGCAAACCAGCTCTACTCCGGCTTTGTAGCTGGAGGAATGGTCAGACCCCACTTCTTCCATGGAGCCCTGCCACTGTCTCCAGTCCACTATTTCCTGCCTATAGACCCGACATTCACAATATGCCTACCAGCCTACTGTCTGAATATTAGTTATTAATGTGGATATCTGCTCTCCCTGTCTGAATGTATGGAAGAGGCCCCTTTAATGGTCTGAACCAGTGCTGGCGCAGCAACAGAAGACCAGAATCACCATCCGCACTGCCATCATTCCAGCCCAAGGATAGATACTCGCCATGTGGCTTGTAGAGCCTGCTGTTGGGTCCTGTGGCATCCCAAAACTGACAGGGTGTTCCTAAAAAAACTAGACCTTAGGGGTAAGGGAGCCCCTTTTTCCAGAAGGGTCAATGCTCAAACATTCCCTGAGCAATGACCAAGTCTGGCTCCCCACAAGAAGTTCAGTGCAAAACCAGCTATCACAGTTAAAGAGTGCCCTCCCGTGGCACTTTGTCCTTAAGATGCCACCTGTGTCATTCGGTAACCAGAGACAGTAACTGCCTCTGTGCTTTGAGCAGAATGCCTTTCCACGCTCACAAGGGCCCTGCCCGCCGCCTGCTCACCGGCTGTGCTTCCAGGCGTTGCGGATGTCCTTCAGCTTGCTGTTCCGCATGTTGGCCACGGAGAAGACGAAAAGGTACTTGTACGTGTCCACGCATTTCCGAAGCTGTGGAATAATTCAGGGGGCTCTGAAGTTCAAGGGGCACCATTGGTAGGGCAACACACGGGCCTCCGATGGGAAAGAATATGCTCCAGGCCCGTTAGACAGGAAGTTCAGAACTGGAGGCCTCTAAGCTGGGATCCTGAGCAGAGCAGGCGTGACCTCAAAGTGTCGGGAAAGCTGAGCCATGGGTCAAGATCCCAAGAAAACCATGGGTCTTCCCAGGTTTCTGACTCATCTGCGGCCACTTCCCTCACCACCCTGCTCTGTCCACATTGCTGGTCGCAGCTATGAGGAGGTGGCCTCAAGGAAACAGAATCTTTGTATATGAGGAGACACCCTTCTTATCCAGCCTGAGCTCTAGAGCAGTGCAAACAGTGAGTTGGTGCATGTACCCATGTCTGACAACTCCCAGGTTTTTTGACATCAGGCAGGCTCTCAAATCTCTGTAAGCTTCAGTTACACAACCGCAAATCAGTGACGTCAAATCATATGTAAGGATGAAGTGGAATGATACATGTGGAGTGCAGCCCCGTGCAGGGCAGAGTAAGAGCTCAGTCAAAGCTGGAAATCGTTACTCTGAGGATTTTTATTGGTGCTGCCACTGGAGGAAAAGGGCTGGACCGGCCTTTCCTTTTCTCCTTTTAAAGAGAATGTTTCCCCAACATACAGTCCTATACCCACATTTCTAACCAAATATAAGGTCTGGAAAAATACAAAGAACAAGCTCTTACCTCTTCGATCAGGTTCTGTTTCAGTTCCAAGCCTTTCTTGGCAGTTTTGGTTAAGGAAACTAATACAAAAAAGAAAAAGGAGACGCGATGAGAGACAAGCTAGGTGTTCTGGAGACTCATTTTTTTCTCACCTCCAGTATCGGCTGGACCAAACCAGTACGGGGAGAGGCAGCAAGGCTATTCCAGGGTCCTAGTGTGCTGCTTTCTGTCGTTCCTGACCCTGGAGGTCCTTAGATATATTTCCTGTTATGTAAACTAGATATCCCTTCACTCCTTAGTTTAACCTAGAATTCCGTACTGAGGTTGGGGTGGGGCTTCTTCCTGCTCCAGAGTGCTTTCAATGGCAGACCTAGCCTGCTGGCTGAGGCAGGTCCCTTCCGGCTCTTAGCCATGGTGCACAGAGCCGTGGAATGAATTAAGTCTGGGGGCTCATCACTGACCTCCTCTGCTACATCTTTTGCAGTTTGGACCCATGGATGTAGCAATGCCACTTTGGGGGAGAGGTAGGCACCCCTATGGTAACAATAGCCGGGCCCCAAATGGTCCCTTACCCGGAAGGGTTTGGCATTTGCCAGATCTCATCATGGCTCCCCTCAAAGAACTCACACACACTTAGAGCATTAAATGCAAAGCCCAGGGTGCCCCTAAGAAGAGGCTGCCTCTTATTTATCCTGCCTGGGACTTAGTCCCTCTTCACAAGGCATGCATACAGAAAGGCAGTCCCACCCGTCAGGGGCAAGTGAAGCAGACGGCAAGCACAATGCAACGATCCATTTTCTATCACTTCCGCTGCTACAGTGTGGACAGAGCCAACCTCAGCCTGTCTTGGATTACTGCTGGTCTTGCTGCTTCCATTCTTGCCTCCACTCTACCCAGTCCATTCTCAACAAGGCAACTAGGGAAATCTTTTAAAAGTAAAGCTAAACTATGGTCATCCCTCTGTTCAGGCCCTCTCGAATGGCTGCGCATTTCATCGGGATCTGAAAGGCAATTCCTTGTAAAGGTCTAAAAAGTCCCACCCTGCCGGGACCGGTTTGGCTCAATGGATAGAGCGTCGGCTTGGGGACTGAAAGGTCCCGGGTTCGATTCCGGTCAAGGGCATGTACCCTGGTTGCGGGCACATCCCCAGTAGGGGGTGTGCAAGAGGCAGCTGATCGATGACTCTCTCTCATCGATGTTTCTAGCTCTCTATCTCTCTCCCTTCCTCTCTGTATAAAATCAATAAAATATATTTAAAAAAAAAAATAAAAAAATAAAAAGTCCCACCCACTCTTCCTACCCCCTTTCTCACTCTGCTCCATTGGCCTCTTGTCCCAGGACATGTCAAAGGTGCCCTCACGTCAGTCAGTGTTTGCACTTCTATTTCCTCTCCTTGGAAAGCCATTATATCCAGGTAACCCCATGAGTTGTTCACTTCCTTTCTTCAGGTTTCTGCTCATTTGTCACCTCATCAGAGAAACCTTCTCTGGTCACAGTATACAAAATTACATCACCTGTTTCAATTTTACTCCACGGGACTCATCACAATCTGACATTAGTTGTTCGGTTCTTGGCATGAGGGGGGGGACATACTTCCCATGACTACAATGTTAAACTCAGTGAGGGCTCTAGGCCTTCCTTGTTGTAACTACTGTATCCTCCTATGCCTAGGGAGTGTCAGGCCCTAAATACTTGTTGAGTGAATGCGCTAACCACTGTGTGAGAGAGGCCACCATAGTCGGGATGCTCTCTTAGGAGGTGACATATGAACTGACAAGTGAGAAAGTCTGCCAGATGAAGACTGGATCATAAGCATGCCGGGCAACAGGAGCTACAAGTACAGAATCAGGTGCGAGAGCAAGACTGTGATGAAGGGAGAGGCGGCCAGGGTGGCGACAGCACAGAAAACTAAGGGAGGTGGGCCGAGGCGGAAAAAATGGATCAAGGAGAGATCGAGAGTAGTCTGGGTGCTCAGAAGCTGTTTCCTGATCCAGCACGGCTTGGGAGAACACTCGAGGCCGGGCGAAGCCGTCTCCGCTCCCTGGCCCCAACCAGGCTCCAGTCCCGTCCCCTGGGATGCTCCCCGTGCCCCACGGGCCCCCGCCGCCCGCTAGCAGCGCAGCTCCTTGAGAAGGCCTGGGTGTCCCATTCCCCGCCCCCAAAGGTCCCACAGCCCCCATCGCAGCCGGCCCCCAATCAGCCGAGCTTCCCCCAACGTCCCTTTCGCCCACCTTTCTTGTCGCGCTTGGACTTGGGCATCTCTCCGCAGACACGTGCGGCGGAAGGCGGCGTTGCCTGTTAGGACCCCGGTGGCGCGGGGGCTTCTGGGACGGCTCTGGAGAGCTGTCTTCGCAAGTGCCTGACCCAATCTGCGCTGCAGTCAGCCTCTCCGCCGGCCGCCGCCTGCGCCCTTCCCCACGTCTCCAGAGCTACTTTCCGCAGGTCCGGGGAATCCCCGAGTCCTGGGCGCCCCACCGAGGGTTTTGCGTGTGTTTCCCGACTCTATGGTTCGCGGAGAGGGAGCCTGCGGCGCGGTGCATGCCGGGCCGGCGGCAGGCGGGGCCGGGCTCCCATCATGGCGGCGGCGGCGGCTTCTCGCTTCTGGCTCTGGGCTGCCCTGCTCATCCCTGCGGCTGCAGTCTACGAAGACCAAGTGGGCAAGTTTGATTGGTGCGTGCAGGGGGGCGCCCCTTCGGGAAATATGTGGCTATTTTTGCCAGTACCTGTCTTCTGCCTGCTGAAGAGGGGTGATCAGGCATCAGGACCGCAAAGCTTTCCTAACTTGCGGGGCCCAGTGCAATAAGAATGTGGGACCCTTGTTCGTTCAGAAGTGAAGTTTTAAGGTGGCGACAGCAGAGCATTAAGCCAAACGTTGGGGGCGCTGCTAAGCCGCCCCGCGAGACCGTCCTGGTCGCAGCCGGGAAGCGGCCTGACGTCCCGCAGGATGGGGTTCTGGGCGGCGAGCGCTGCTCCCGCCTCCCGTCAGGTTTCTGATCTCAGTGAACTCTCAGTCCTCCTCGAATTGGCATCTCTCGGGCATGTGGACAGGACCTTGGGGGTTATACGTCCTAAACTGAGTCCTCTCGTTTCGCCTCCCTTCCAGCCCAACCCAGCCCTGGCCTCAGAACAGGTCCGCCCACGTTTTACAAGGGCCAGAGGTGCCATTCATTCACTTAACCCTCCGCTTCTTCCTTCAGGCCCTGGAGCTGGCTTGCTTTTGTTTGAATCTCAATTTTGCCATTTAAGGGTTGTGTGATCTCGGGAAAGTGACTTAACCATTCTGTGCCGTGTTTTTATGATCTGTGAAGTATTTACTAATACTAGTACATTACTTCTTACTGTTGTAAGGATGATCAATATAATTCCTATAAATTGGCACAATGCCTGGCCCATTATTGTTGCTATTCAGGGGGCATTTCAACCTTCAGATCCCCAATCCGATAGCTCCTCTGTGAAGTCTTTTCTGAACCTGGCAGGTTAATTCACATATTTGTTGAGTGCCTGTAGTGTGTCAGTGGTTATTGTAGGTGCTGTGGACACAGAGAGGTGAAGGAGCTTGTGGGGCAGGTATACAGTAAGTCCTTACTTAATGTCATCCAGTAGGTTCTGCAATTTTAAACAAAACCAGATACATCCAAACCACTTTTCCCATAGGCTAATTGATATAAGCAAGAGTTAAGTCCCTATGGCAAATCATTACAATGCAACAACATTATTCCAGGACCTGCTGTGTGTGACAAATGCAACATGTCACGTTTTTAATGATGGGGTAAATGCTCACAATATAATATGTGAGCAAATACTAGGCACATGCAATTTACAAGCTGAAAAATAAACGGAAGGAAATACACCCACATGTTAATACATTTATGGCGGTGTTATTTGGGACATTTTTAATTTTCTTTGTTATACTTTTATATATTTTTCACATCTCTACAATGAGCAGGCATTACTTTATAGTCCAGATAACAAATTTTAAAAGAGCATGGATTTAGAGTCAGAAGATCTTAGTTTTACCTTCTACTTCTGACAGTAATTAGATGACTTCAGTGGACTTTGATTTTTCTTACTTGTAAATGAGTAACATTCGTCCTGTGTACTTCATGGCATGTTCATTGGATACAGTGAGAGTCAAGTATGTGGAAATCCTGGCAGAAACTGTCCAATGTAATATAAGCCTGTCTCTCCACTACCAGCTTAGTTTCTTCTTAAAAAAAAAAAAAAAAAAAATTAGACCAAACATCATGACGAGGAATTCAGTGTAAGCATCATGTGTGATTAATTTGCTAAAGAATGTTGTACTTTTTTTTTTTTTATTGTTGACATTATAATAGATGTCTCCCATTTCCCCGCTTTGTGCCCATATCCTATATCCACCCAGGCCCCTGGCCTTCACCACTCTGTTGGAGAATGTATTATAGCACTTTTTCATCAATAGCAATGTGCAAAAACACCTGTGTACTTGGTGGTCAGCCATATGAAGCTAATTACATTCTCCTTATGCTTAGGTAAGAGTGTTGAAAGTGATGAGATAGTTTATTCCCAAGAAAGTATGAGAATAAAAAATAAATAAATTAAAAAAAAAGTAAATATGAGAATAGGTAAAATAGATCCTGAACATAATGTGGGCTAGAAAAGGTTGTAGAGAACAAAGCCTGACCCAGTCTATGGAGTTTTGTTGTAAAATTTGCATAATTTTTCCTCCGGAGGTCAGTGAAAATAGAAGGAAAAGTTCGATTGTATGTTCATGGACAGCAAGGTTGTGCCTCTTCCCTCATGTGCACTCTGAGTGCCTAGTCCCACTACTAATGACCACAGAGAACTGTGATGTTTGTTCTAGTGGGAGGTAGGCCAGGTGCTCTTGTGGGTGTCACTGATCTGGAGATAAACATGTGCTTACATTTAGAAGGAAGGCTTGTATTTTTCATCTATTAGGGCTATTCCTGTTCCCTTTGCTTCAGACTACATTGTCTAGAAGCCTTGCTTTGGGTCAACTCTCCTCATTAACAAACGGTTCTCCTATGCCCTAAGCTAGGTATGATGCTGATAGCCTGTGCTTGTGCAGTTGATTTTTCCAAAGCACTTTGTGCGGTGCTGGTTTTGGCCTCTCACATTTCCCTCTTCTTTAGGAGACAGCAGTATATTGGGAAGCTCAAATTTGCCTCCTTGGAATTTTCCCCTGGATCCAAGAAGTTGGTTGTGGCCACAGAGAAGAACGTGATTGCAGCCTTAAATTCTCGGACTGGGGACATCTGTGAGTAAATTTTGTAGACCGTTAGCTCAGGATGGAATGGCTGACCATAGTGAATCCAGAATGGTTTGTGGCTGGCCAAGTCTGCCTGGCTGGGTTCCAAGTTAGGGACAAGTTGGCCAAAAGGTGCATTTCTTACTGGATTCTGACAGCGTATTTTATTTTATTGTTTTTAGTCTCATCATTTAATATATTCCTATTACTGGTCTTTGTAGATTATTCCCTCAGATGAAGTCCTAACTTCTTAAATAAGATGTTACTGCACAAAACACATTACTCTATTTTGCATTAAAGATTTGGTTTGCCACATTCCCAATTACTTATACTGCTTTTAGGTTTGTTTTTTTGCACTAAAATAATGGCTATGAAATTTATAATCACTTTTTTGTGTATGTGAATCATACAGGTTTTGTTAACTTTGTCATTGTTCATTTACATGCTTGATGAGGTGGTAGTGGAGATGGGAGTGCAGAGACCTGCCCTTGTTATCAGGGAGTGCGAGGGGGTCATCGCCAGTTCCCTTCAAATAAAATTGGGCACCACCATGCAAACAAAGACCTCTTTTGTTTTCTCCCACCTGTTTTCTTGGGTGCCTCTCTTTATTTCGTAGTAATGTCTGACTCTCCTGTCTCTCAGTGTGGCGCCATGTTGACAAGGGCACGGCGGAAGGGGCGGTGGACGCCATGCTGCTGTACGGACAGGGTAAGCAGAGGCCTGCTTTGCTTCTCTCGTGGTGTTGGCCCCTCTCCTCATTCCTTGGTTTTTTCCTTGCCCTGGGTCTGGTAGGGGAAGGGAAAGGGGTATTCCCAACAGGAAAGAACAGGTCTGCAAATAGCTCTTACTTGCACTCATATCAGAGGTGAGGTTACCGCTAACAGGCCCTATGGGGCTACAGAGCTCCGACCTGGGAGATGGTGTCACCATGGTTTTTTTCTTCCAGATGCAGTCACTGTGTCCAATGGTGGCCGGATCATGCGTTCCTGGGAGACTAACATCGGGGGCCTGAACTGGGAGATTACCTTGGACAGTGGCAGGTAGAGGGGAAGAAGCTGTATTTCATCTGGTTTAGGGCTTTGCTGGAGCACAGATCTGTGTGGGCAGCAGCTCTGGGTCTTTTGGCTTTTTTCCCAGGGACCACTACAGAGCCAAAGAGCATTAAATGTCCAGTTTTTTATTTGTTTTTTGTTTTTTTAATCCTCACCTAAGAATATGTTTTTATTGATTTTAGAGAGAGGAAGGGAGAAAGAGACAGAGAGAGAAAAACATTGATATGAGAAACATCAACTGGTCGCCTCCCATGTGTGCCCGACCGGGATTGAACCCACAACCTAGATATGTGCCCTGATCCTGCATCGAACCCACCACCTTTCCGTGCTCCAGCCAGCTGAGCCACACTGCCAGGGCTTGATGTTGTTGAGGTTATGGAACACATGTGTTTACTCAGCCAGCATTTACTAAGCACCTCTTAGATGCAGAGCTCTGAGCCAGGTGCAGTGTTTATTGTACTTAACTGCTTTTTCTACCCTGTTTCCCCGAAAATAAGACAGTGTCTTATATTAATTTTTGCTCCCAAAGATGCGCTAGGTCTTATTTTTAGAGGATGTCTTATTTTTCCACGAAGAATACGGTACACATTTATTGTTAAATGAAAATAAAGGAAATTAATTACCTGTATATGGTACGGTAGTACGGTAGTTGTCAACACAAACCAGACAAACTGTGAATCCTACTGTATCAAGAATTTACTCATTTATTCAATGACAATCATGTCATCATCTTCTGGAACATCATCATAACAATCCAATTCCTGAATTTCCTGGTGAATTTCTTGTGACTCCATTTCTTTTAGAATCAGTGGACCAAATCTCTCATGTTTAGCCTAGGGGGTGGGGTCCTTATTTTCGGGGGGATACCTTATATTTCACTCAGAAGGAAACCTGTAAGTAGGTCTTATTTTCGGAGGATGTCTTATTTTCGGGGAAACATGGTAATCTTACCATGTCTTGAGAGCTTTGCACTGTTGTAGATACAAGAACATAATATAAAACTTTTAATGTTTTAATTTTGTGTTTAGAGAACAGCTCGAAGTACTGTTAGATCTTTGCTAAAGTTTAATAAGATCATGTGCATTAGCTTATGCATCCGATAGCCATTTGTTTGGTAAGCACTTGGGAGCCCCAGGCAGTGGGAACACACATGTGAATGTGAGTTAGTGTCTGTCATCAAGGAACTCACTGTCAGTTGTGGGAGGCAGGCATGTGGCCCAGGAATGACATTACTGTCTGAGGGGCGCCATGGTGGGGGTTTGGCCTGGTTGCTGTGAAGTCCCATGGGAAGGTGGGAACAAACCTTAGCGGATTCAGGGGGCTTGAGGGAAGCAGTATGGCCTAGTGGTTCAAAGAGGCAGAGCCAGGCTAGGATCCAGATGCGTTTGAGCCCAAAATCTATTTTGTTGTCTACCCAGCTACCGTGGCAGTGTGCCACATTGTCTCCTGGAGCCTGAGGCTCTGGAGGTGCTGGGCAGTGCTCACCCTGTGCCTGTGCTCAGCTTCCAGGCGCTTGGGCTGGTCGGCCTGCAGGAGGCGGTGCGGTACGTGGCGGTCCTGAAGAAGACCACTCTTGCCCTCCATCATCTCTCCAGTGGGCACCTGAAGTGGGTGGAGCATCTCCCAGAAAGGTAAGGCTGCCCTCCCACCAGGTGATGGCTACCTGGTCCCGCTCTCCACAAGCCCCTCTCCCTCCTTTAGGGTTGAAGCATTGGCTTTGGCCCAGGTTTACCTTACGCTGGGATCATGTGTAGCGTGTTGGACTCACTAGATCTAGGCCTGAACTCAAAGGCTGTGCTACCTCTGCAGTTGCCATTGCAGTGGGCAGAAACTCTCAAACTAGGCATGAGAGCCGGTCAAGCAAGAGGACTGGCTGTCTCGCTCATGGTCCTACTGCTTTTTGCTTTTTGACTTCTAGTTCAAGTCGGACTTCTAACAACTCAAAAAGGCCCAGGGTGGGAGCTTAGTGAGATTTGAGATGGTTTCCAGAGGTCCTGGTGGTAGGAAACATTGAAGCTGAGAAGGAATAGGAGGGAAGGAGGAAAGATCTACTTAGACCACCTCAGGCAGGGACCAAAAAGTCAGATTCCTGTAAGACCAAGTGCATAGATAGCAGGCTCTGTGGGGATTCTTGGGAGCTGCGGTGAGCCTGGCCTACCGCAAGGGGGCAGCCTTACTCAGCTGATAAGTGCCTTGTAGGATGCATTGTTGGGTAGTGTTGCCACGCCTTTTAAAGGAAAGCTAGAAATCTGGTTTGAAGTGTAAAATCTCAGTCTTGAATGTGGACAACTGAATTATTTATTAATTGAAATAATAAAAAAAGGACTGTGTGAGACAAAACCTAGTTGGGGACTGATAGTAGAGGGCCTTGGCTGAAGACCTGGCAGCCTAGTTTTGGAGGACCCTGCCCTGAGGCTGAAGCTGTTGCTCCTGTTTTTCTTCCCTCTCTTAGTGACAGCATCCACTACCAGATGGTGTATTCCTACGGCTCCGGGGTGGTGTGGGCCCTCGGCATTGTTCCCTTCAGCCACGTGAACGTTGTCAAGTTTAACGTGGAAGATGGAGAGATTGTGCAGCAGGTACGCTCAGGCATCTTCCTTGTGAAGCCTTGAGGAGCCTTGTGAATTGAGGAGGAACTAGATAGAGCCCTTCCTTGCACTAGGACCAGAGAACTCAGCTGGCAAAAGCCATTTAAGTTTCCTCTTCTAGTCATCAGGTATTTATTTAAAGCCCTTGCATTCGCCCATAGTGCTCTCCTGTGATGGCTAAAATAGTCCTATAGATCCGTTTGTTGCCTGCGAGTATCTTGCAAAATAATACTGTAAAATAACGGTAGAGAAACCACAAATGACAAATACAGTAAATAAATGCTTATCTCAAATGTCAGGTATTAAAAAATAATCTGGTCTATTTTTCTAGCATCCAGATAAAAAAAATTGGGGTTTTCCTCTGGCTTTGGAGCTTTTGGGAGGCCGGGGGGACAGGGAGAACTTTGGAACCAGCCATGAAGAGCCTTGTGCTTGGGCACCTGGTGGGAACTGGCTGGCATTGCTGATGAGCCGAATGGGAAGTGTAAGCATCCTCATTGGCCTCCTGTTATGTGTCTTTCCCACAGGTCAGGGTTTCAACCCCCTGGCTGCAAAGTCTCACCGGAGCCTGCGGCGTGGTGGACGAGGCTGTCCTGGTGTGCCCTGACCCGAGCTCACGGTCCCTCCAAACTCTGGCCCTGGAGGTGGAGTGGGAGTTGAGGCAGATCCCACTGCAGGTGAGAGGCCAGCGCTGCCCCCGCTGGCCCGAAGTCTTTCTCCCAGTGTCACTGCTTCCTTCCCGGCTGTGGCAGCTGTAGAGAAGGCCGGGCCTCTGGCTGAGCTGCTGAAAGGGGAAATGGGCCACTCTCCTCTTGGAGAACCTGAATGGGGACTCCAGCAGCCACGTGCCATGGCCTAGCTACTTTCATTGGCAAAGGGGGGCAGAGGATGCAGGCCCAGGATGGAAATCTGACTTCTCTGCTTCTAACCCTAACCCTCCTCCCTCTTGTCTTCTAGTCTCTCGACTTAGAATATGCAAGTGGATTCCAACCCCGGGTCCTGCCCACACAGCCCAACCCAGTGGATCCTTCTCGGGCCCAGTTCTTCCTCCAGTTGTCCCCAAGCCACTACGCTCTCCTGCACTACCATCACGGGGTCCTGAGTCTGCTCAAAAACCTCCCTCAGGTAACTGCAGGCTGCATGTTTGCCAGCCAAGACACGGATGTTAGAAATCCCCGCCTTGGAAGCTGCAGGCATTTGCTCAGGAAAGAAGACATCTTTCCAAAGTGGCTTGAGAGAATTTAGCCTTAGAGCAGAAATGAAATAATTTTTCTTCTAAGTTACACAGCATCTTTAGATTAAAACTGGCACTTTCCTCTGGGTCCTTGGGAAAGTGGGGGAAATAATTACAGCTTCCCACAGATACTGAAAGCAGTGTAGGAATGAGGATTGACTGTGCCTGTGCCTGTGCCCGTTTTCAGCTGTGGATGCAGCTGGCCCTTCCTCTGCTCTCCTACGCCCTGGCCATTGTGCTCTCAACTTGGGAGAACTTTCAAATCCCGTAGAGGTGGCCCTCTGGAAGGCTGCTGGCTAGTAAAGGCCCATTTAGGAACTGACACCCTGCTTTCCCCCCAGACTGCCCTTGTGAGCTTTGCCACCACCGGGGAGAAGACAGTGGCTGCAGTCATGACCTGTCGGAATGAAGCGGTGAGTATTGAGAGTAAAGCCAGCCCTGGTGGGTTTCCTTTATGTGACTGCCAAGAGCCCAAGAGCCAAAAGTCTGGGTGTAGTCTCCTGGTCACTTAGAGCCCAGAAGGCAGCAGGCTGTTGAGAACTAAGTTCTCACATTATCTATAGAACTTCCTGTACATCCCCTTGTTCCCAGGAGTGGGACCCTAACATGATGCTTCACTTTCATCCGGGTCTGTTAAGGGTTGCATAGGCTTTGAGGTTAGGAATGAGAAATTGCGATGTGCCTTCTCCCAAGTGTTGAGAAGACAGCTGAAAGCTTCCTTTTGGTAACTGGAAAGTGACCCTTTGGCTCGTTTCCTCCTTCTGTCCTTCTCTTTTCTCTAGCAGAAATCTAGCAGTTCTGAAGATGGGTCACTGGGGAGCTTTTCGGAGAAGTCTAGTCCGCAGGTAGGGTGTGGCATTGGGCAGTGTGCCAGACCTACACCCAGGAGATAACCCCAAGATATTGGCGGTGCAGCTTAGGCCATGAGCTGGTCTTCTATAGAGTACAGTCTCAAATGGGGTTTCCTGAATTGTGTAAATGATAGTTCCCTTGGTCCTTTTCAGTTGGGAGATTAGGAAGTAGGAACTCTAGAATCTGCACTTTCTCCTCTGGGCCTTAGTTTCCCCATTTCTTCTGGGCTCCCAGCTTGGAGAGTTGTTTTAATCTGTGCATTTGCACTGGAGCTGAGCATGGGACGCTGGCTGGGGCACAGGTTCCTGCTGTGGCGCTCTCTCATCAGCTTTTCCGAGGGTTCTGCCATTTCCCCGCTGACGCTTTTACCTCCTTGGCAAATCTCTGCTACACTGCATTGGCTTCCTCCTGGACAAGTACAGTGGGTGTAATTTTATTTATTTACTCAGGTGTCTTAGTTCTGCCTTAGGATTTAGCTTTCTTTTCTCTTATTTTCCTTGCATATATTTCCTGTCTTGGCCTGGGTTCTTATCTAGGGTATTGACCCCAGTTATTAGGTTTCCTCTGGGGGAATCCCTCAAGTTGACCTGTGCTGTCTGTTCCCTTAGGACACGCTGGCTTGCTTCAACCAGACCTACACCATCAACCTCTACTTAGTGGAGACAGGGCGGCGGCTGCTCGACACCACCATCACCTTTAGCCTGGAACAGAACGGCACTCGGCCGGAGCGGGTGAGTGGGAGCCTTTGTCTCAGGCTCCGTCCTGTGGGCATCTCAGTGTGGGGTTCTCTTTCCTCAGGGGCGGGTCACAGCCACGGGGCCTGGATTAGAGCTCTCTGATGTGGTCCTTTCTGAGCCACTGACCAGCCATAAATCCCTGTGAATAACAGTAAAAGTGGTACCGTTCATTCCAAGTTATCGCTGTGCCAGGCACTGTGCTGAGCTTTTCACAGTGCACTAAATAATCCATCAGTCTGGGAGGTGGTTATAAATGAGGAGACTGTCGAGAAAGTCAGGGCCCTATCCCGAGTCACAGAGCTAGGAAGTGGTCGTTAGCCCTGTAGCTGGCGTTCTTCGTTGCTGCCTGGGTTGCCTTTGTGCGTGTTCGGATGTGTTCTGAAGCCTCTCTGGGCTGGGCTTTTGTTTCTGGAATGGGAGGTATATGCCCTAGCTGGTGTACTCAGCAGTCAGCGCACCGGCCATAGCATTAAAGGGTCTCAGGTTCAATTTCTGGCCAAGGACTTGTACCTGGGTTGCAGGTTAGCTCCCTGGCCCTGGTCAGGTGTGTGTAGGAGGCAACCAATGAGACACATTGATGTTTCTCTTTCCTTATCTCCTACTCTTCCACTCTCTAAAAATTAATGGAAAAAAAAATATTCTCTATCCTCGGGTGAGGATTAAAAAATAAAATAAAATGGGAAGTGTACTCCTGGCCTGTTCACTTAGTGGGGTGTGATTGGCACATGGTGATTGATATGGGACTCCTTGGGTTTCCTCCATGACAAGGTCTGAGGGCGAGCCTAGCCCCATTGTGTTGGCTCCTAAGAACACGTGTTATCTTATTGGAGTCCAGGTCGTAGCTGTATTACTTAGACATCTGCTGATGCCATGACCTAGACCTCTGTCCACTCCTGAGGCTTTGGATCTTGACTCCGGCGCTCTGTGAGGCATTTGAATTCTCGCTGACCGCAGTGGTCTCCACTCTTTGGCTTACAGCTGTACATCCAGGTGTTCTTGAAGAAGGACGACTCTGTGGGCTACCGGGCCTTGGTGCAGACAGAGGACCATCTGCTCCTTTTCCTGCAGCAGCTGGGTGAGCGGCCCCATTCACCCATTTATTTTAGGCCTGCCCATGGGATCCAGTCAGACTCGGGGGCTGTGGACAGGCTTGTGGAAGTCACATAGAGCGTAGCCTGATATTTTTTCCAGAGCATGTCACCTGCTTTTGAGGAATTCCTTAGCATTCTTGTCCGGGACATGGAACTTTCTTCCCTTGGCTTATTGAATCCAGCCCCTTGCCCTGTGGCTTCTGTTTGTCACACAGGAGCGGCAGGGCATCCCTGAGCCACCGGGGAGAGTCTGTTCGGGAGGTGAGGGGCCTAGCGTTGTGCCCATGCTCTTTCCAGCAGGGAAGGCGGTGCTGTGGAGCCGGGAGGAGTCTCTGGCAGAGGTGGTGTGCCTGGAGATGGTGGACCTCCCCCTGACGGGGGCGCAGGCTGAGCTGGAAGGAGAATTTGGCAAGAAGGCAGGTATGAACTAACAGGCTGGGCCAGCAGTCGCTGCAGGGGGTGCTTTGGGAATGTGTCTGATAGCTGGACCCCTGGCAGTGCTGTCTCACAGCATCTCTGGCTTCCAGGGTGCAGCCGTTGCCAGTCTGCTCTGAACCGGCTCTGGTCAGACCAGTTTGTAGTGCTTTGTGGCCATAGGGTTTATGTACCCATTCTTTTCTATGAGAGGTGTCACCTGCGACTCCCTCTAGGGCTTTGAGGAAAAGAAACTTAGTTTAGTATAGTAAGAGCTACCACTGTCTGAGCACCTGAAAATTATCAGGCACTCTACACCCATTGTCCCTAAAGCAACAGCCAGAGCTTTCTAGAGAGACATGACTAGGCTGACTGACCCAGTTGTTGTGGCCAGTGCCCTCTGAGCCACATCCCTATCCCCAGGATGGACTCGGTTCCCTCTACTCTCGGTTCCCACTCCTACCCCCATCTCTGTCCCTTCCATCCATTCATCTCGCTATCCAACAGGCGTTTACTGAGGGCCTACTCTGGGCCAGGTACCCTGGTAGGCATTGCAGTTTTCTTAAGCTGAGGATTAATTTGCCTTTACTGTTTATTTTTGCTGCCTGGATCCAGCGATTCAAGGTAAAATCTGCTTTCTGCCACCTCATTGCTCGTTGCCTGTCCACATGACTAGCTTTTGATTAATTCTTTGTTTTCCTGACTTGGCATCAACAAGGTATATACTGTGTGTGCGTGGACTGCTATGGCTGTGACTTGTCCTGTTTGCCTCTCACTGCTCTTCCTTGACCTGAATAAAAATTACATAAGAAAGGGCACCCCTCCTTTTCAGTGAGCACTTAATGTGTACCCCACACTGTTTGAAACCCTGTATGTACATCATGTGTCATCTTGCTGTAGCCCAGTCAGCAGATTACATGCCATTAAATGATGAGGAATCAGAGGCCAGAAGATCAAATACATTTCCCAGGATCACTGAGTTAGAAGCAGTGGAGTTGGGATTTTAAAAAAAATATATTTTATTGATTTTTTACAGAGAGGAAGGAAGAGAATTAGAAACATCAATGAGAGAGAAACATCGATCACTTGTCTTCTGCACACCCCCTATTGGGGATGTGCCCACAATCAAGGTACATGCCCTTGACCAGAATCGAACCTGGGACCTTGCAGTCTACAGGCCGATGTTCTATCCACTGAGCCAAATCGGTTTTGGCTGGAGTTGGGATTTTTAACCTAGGTCTGCCAGACTCCAGAGGCCATGCTCTTTACCGTGCAATGTTGCTTCAGTGACCAAATCTGCCCTGTGGAGGAGATTTGAGGGTCGTCATTGATGGGAGTCAGGGGCGAGTGAGTGATAGCCCCGGGAATTGGTTGCAAGTAGTTCTGTTGGGTGCAAGTCAAACAGTTGACAGAATAGGGGTGAAGCAGTGGGAAATGGAAGTGCCTGTTCATGATACGCATACATATGTACCCCTGCACCCCACATCCCTCCCTCTTGGTTTCATGGCACCCAGAGCCTTCCTCTGGCCATTCTGGATGTGGGGCTGTGGTGGAGACATTCACAGCATGGCTGCACCCTGCATGGCTGACCCCTGACCTCTTAGTCTCCTATTCCAAGATCAGGCAGGTGCAGTACTGTGAGCCAGGTGAGTAGGTTTGGAAGTTCCTGCCTGGCTGTACCTGAGTGTGAGACCGTTGACATCAGACACAGGACCGCTCCTTGGATGTGTGGCCCGAGGTGTCAAGCCACAGGAGAGAGGGCGACCCCTCGCTAGCAAAAGCAAGTACCCCCTTACTGGACACACCTAGTCTGGTGGGGAGGGAGCCTCAGCTGTATTTATTACCTTTTCCTTGACACCAGACGGCTTGCTGGGGATGTTCCTGAAACGCCTCTCGTCCCAGCTCATCCTGCTGCAGGCGTGGACTTCCCACCTCTGGAAAATGTTTTATGATGCTCGGAAGCCCCGGAGTCAGATTAAGAATGAGATCAGCATTGACACCCTGGCCAGAGATGAGTTCAACCTCCAGAAGATGGTGGTGACCGTGACAGCCTCAGGCAAGGTGAGGGGGTGAGCCCTGGTCCCAAACCTCAGGGCTCCGGGGTGGCAGGGGAGAGCACGGGCTCTAATTTTCATGGATAGAATCAGTTCTTTGGTTTGTCTTTCTCGCAGTGAGCCAGCTATTTGTTTATCTTGCAGCTTTTTGGCATTGAGAGCAGCTCTGGCACCATCCTGTGGAAACAATATCTCCCCAATGTCAAGCCAGACTCCTCCTTTAAACTGATGGTGCAGAGAACCACTGCTCACTTCCCCCACCCCCCTCAGTGCACCCTCCTGGTGAAGGACAAGGTGAGGCCCCCTCTGATGTGCACCAACGTGGTGTGGCTTTTTGGTGTTTGGTAATTTACATTTCTCCCAGGCCTTTAGAACTGTATGAGAGTTAAGGGTCAGTATTCAGGGATGAGAGCTCTGTTTCTTCCAGTTTTTTCCTGCGTGGAGGAACCATCCAGGACTGAGGTGGGATGACTGGAAAGGGGGTGACTTTACCAGATGTGTAGTAAGCCAGCTCGTCATCGTCCCTAGCATAGGCGGCTGGTGGTGGCTGAGTGGCTGTTTTCGCGCCTGTAGATGAGAGACAGCAGGACACCAAGCTCTGTGTATCCTGCCTCCCAGAAGTGGACGGATTTTGTAGGATCATTCTGGTACTGCCAGAAGGGAGCTGGGAAGCTTTCTGCTGGAATGGCTGGCCTGGGGTTGCTGGTCATGGACCATTTTGTTTGTCCCTCAGCCTGCCCGGTTCTTGGTTAGCTTTGGAGTCAAGAGGAAGTTTATTTTCCTTTTGACACATTAGCCTCGGGGACCATTCACCTTCAGCCAAGACTATTTCCCATGAAGAAGACAGACTAAGGCATCCGGCACAGCTGAGCTCCAGTCCCAGATTTACTCCTGGAATGTGCGTTCTTTTCACACTGAAATCTGACAGTCTGCCCGTTTCAGGAGACAGGAATGAGTTCTCTCTACGTCTTCAACCCCATTTTTGGGAAGTGGAGTCAGGTGGCCCCCCCAGTGCTGAAGCACCCCATCTTGCAGTCTCTGCTTCTGCCTATCATGGATCAAGACTATGCCAAGGTGCTGCTGTTGATAGATGATGAGTACAAGGTACGGCATCTTTAGTGGCTGGAGAACATCCACGCAGAGTTGGGTGTTGGGGAGGGGTGGTCAGACAGCAGCCAGTGTACCAGAGCTGGGAGCTCTCTACAGTCAGCACCCATTTGGGCTTGTAGGGGATCTCTAAGCAACTTGATTACTCTTTGTGCACTTACAAAAATTCAGGGTCTTAACAGAAGTAAAATTAAGCCCTAATTGAGTTCAGTAGACTAATTCTTTAAGTTTGGCATTTCTATCAAGGCTCTCTTTGATGGGAAATAGTAATTGAGAAAGCGCTTCGAGGCTCCTGACCTTGTCCTTTAACACTTTTCTTGGGCTCTCTGGATTTTCAAGGTCACAGCTTTCCCAGCCACCCGGAATGTCTTGCGGCAGCTCCATGAGCTAGCCCCTTCCATCTTCTTCTACTTGGTGGATGCAGAACAGGGACGGCTGTGCGGATATCGACTTCGGAAGGTAAGGAAGGGGCACCCTTCAGGGAGAGATGTGGGTGTTTTCTGGTTATTTGCCTAAGAAGTCAATTACGCTATTCATTCTATTGAAAATTTTGATCAGCATAGTCCTGATATCTGATTCAAAGCAATTTTCATATTTATTGGGTGGCTACCTCATGGCAGGCATGGTTCTAGGTGTTGTGGAAAAAGCAACGAACAACAAAGTCTGCTCCCATGGAGTTCTCATTCTGCATTCCTTTTCTATGGCAGTGAGAGGGACATTGTTTTCCATTTGGGGGAAAGTGGGTGGGAATGGGGGTTGAGTAATAGTACTTTCTATATGAATATGGTGTTATTAACTCACTCTTGATAGAATGTGTGCTTTGAGTTTTATTCTAGAAATGGAATAGATTTGTTCTGAACCTGACATACTTGAGTCTAATTCTTAACTAACAGTGATACACAGTGGCTCTGAGGTCTAGCTAGGAGGTTCACAAGGGCCTGGTCTTGGTCTCGCTAGCAGGGCTGCAGAGAGGAATAATTTGTGGCCTCACCAGGTGGCCCTTCAGTCCTGTCCCGTAGGGCCTTTGGCGAGGACTGTAATATAGAGACGAAGAGCTGGGATGAACGATGAGTTCAAGGTACGGCATCTTTAGTGGCTGGAGAACATCCACGCAGAGTTGGGTGTTGGGGAGGGGTGGTCAGACAGCAGCCAGTGTATCTATGTGTGAAACCTCACTATGTGACCTTGGGCATAGGATTTCTCCACCACTGCTTTCTTGTCTGTGAAATAGATGATAATGACACCTACCTCATAGGGTTATTGTGAGGAGCAGAGACTTAATACATATAAATTACATAAAGCAATGCCTGGAACATGGTAAATGCCATCTAAATTTATTATCTGTTGTTTTAAAATGCAATGCCCTTTTCTGACATCTTGTAACAGCCAAACTTTCACATAAACAGCGTAGGAAATTGTCTACCCAGAAAATATATTCTTTACCCTTGTGAGTGAAAATAAATTGCCCTTCCAACTTGATAAAAAGGAGACCCTGAAAGAGACAGTGCTTTGTGGATACAGGGGAGCAAACTGGAGTGTGGGTGCCATGAATCAGTGGAATCCCGAAGATGTCATCATAGTGAGTGGTGGCCAAGGGCAGACAAAGGAGGCAGAGTGCAATGGGGAGTAGGCCAAGGGTGTATTAGTCTTTGACTTCTGAGTGAGTTTACTGGTGACCTTACTCTCTGGGATGTTTTTTATTATAAAAAAGATTAAATTGACGTAGAAGCGCATAAGCAAAATGTGAGCCGACCCTTTCCATCTGGCTCCCAGCTGCTTTCCCAGATGGAAGGCCTGTCAGGAGCTGACTGCGCATCTTCCATGGTCCTTCAGTGTATTCACAATACTGTGTAAGTAGCTGTATGGACCATATAGATTTGTGATTCATAGATATTTCTTAGTGAAATGGAATTGGCCTTTATTTATTAATAGGATTTTTAATTTTTTCTATCTTATTGTTTTGTTAAACCCATGTTTAAATGAAAGTATAATATTAAGAAAAATCCAGAATCCTGAGGTTATGCCTCAGTGACCTTTCAAAAGGGAGTATTTGTGAACATGGCAGTCAGAACAGGAAGCAGAACGGCACCAGTACCCGGTAGTCCTTGGGCCCTTTCCCCTCCCCCTATAGTAACATTTAACCACACAGATTTGCTTATGGTTTCCTGTGACTCTAAAGAACCTTTTCTATAATACTTCAAGGTCCCTGCCAGCTCAGTAATTCTCTGCTGGCCCAGGATACGGATTCTTTGATTTTAGTAATAAGTGGTAAATTTTCTTTGGATATTTCCTACTCAGATAAGCAATGGGAAGCTATTGAATAAATCTTCAGCTTTCTTAATGGCTTCAGTATATTTTTAAATCAAACTGTGAGCTATAAAACTTGTTTCATAAACCAGGACCTTCTTCCAGCACAAAGGCTGTAGGTAATGAACTGTAGGGTGTGTCCAGCTACTGCAGACTCCAGTCTAGGCATAGCCTCCTGATTACAAGTGCCAGCTTCCTTGCCTTTGCTCCAGGATCTCACCACTGAGCTGAGTTGGGAGCTGACCATTCCCCCAGAAGTTCAGCGTATCGTCAAGGTGAAGGGGAAGCGCAGCAGCGAGCACGTTCATTCCCAGGGCCGTGTGATGGGGGACCGCAGCGTGCTCTACAAGGTACGGCAAAGCAGCCTGGTATAGAATAGGAGAGCAAGGGTTTGGATTCTGGCTCTAGAATTTGTAGGTACATTATCTCCAGTGAGTCATTTAATCCCTTTGAGCCTAAAGTATTGTCTGTGAAATGGGTACACTGCCCTTCTAGAGTGGCCATGTTGAGACTCATGCTTAGCCTAGGCCCTAGCTTATGGTCATTGCCCAATCGATGTTAGCTGTTATTATTAGTGACTAGAGGCTCGGTGCATGGGTCTCTCAGCCTGGCTGGCGATCGAGGCCTATTGAGGGACCAGCAAGCCAGGAGGAGGGACCCTGGGAGGTTGGCTGGCTATTTCCCTGATCGGGGCCTATGGGTGGGGGGCGATTGGCAGGGGGAAGGGGCCATGGGAGAACGGCTGGCTGCAAGAGGTTGGCTGTGGGAGCACACTGACCACCAGGAGGCAGCTCCTGCGTTTAATGTCTGCCCCCTGGTGGTCAGTATACATCATAGTGACTGGTCAATTGGTCGTTCCGGTCATTCAGTCATAATAGTTACTTAGGCTTTTATATATATAGATAGTACTGATAAAACTGACTGGGGTTAAATCTAAGTTGATTTATCAGAAAGCCTGTCTCTGTGATCCAGCACTCTAGTTAATAGTAAAGGGTGGGGTGCCAAAACCAGTTTGGCTCAGTGGATAGAGCGATGGTCTGCGGACTGAAAGGTCCTAGGTTCGATTCCGGTCGAGGGCATGTACCTTGGTTGCGGGCACATCCCCAGTAGGAGGTGTGCAAGAGGCAGCTGATCGATGTTTCTCTCCCGTCAATGTTTAATTTTCTATGCTTCTCCCTTCCTGTCTGTAAAAAAAATTAATTAAAAATATTTTAAAAAAATAAAATAAGGTGAAACTTCAAGTGAGGAGTGAGGTAAAGCCTTCTAGACAGAAAAATCAGCATGCCTGGAGTGTTCTAGAAACAGCAAGGAGGCTAGCGGGACTAGAACAGGGTCTTTGGGTTGCTCAGGTCAGGAGGTGACAGGGCCAGGTCACAGGCCATTCATTCTGGCCTTTTGGGTGAGACAGAACCATGGGGAAGTTTTGAGCAGAGAAGTGACTGAGGTGTTAACAGGTTCATTTGGCCTGCTGTGTTGAGATGAGCCTGTCGTGGGCCAAGGGGTAGAGCAGGCAGACAGGTAGGCTGTTGTAATAATCCAGGTGAGATGATGGGTTGGTGACAAAGGATCTGATTCTGGATACTTTGAAGGTGGAGCAATAGGATATGTCGATGCATAGGATATATGTATGTTAGAGAGAAGGAGTTGAGGATGACTTAGAGGTCCTAGTTCTTAGACACTGACTCATGAGGACCTCTGAGAGGGAGCAGGTTTTAGCAAGGGTAGAACAGGAGTTCAGTTTGGGGCAAGGCAAGTTCGAGATAAGACATCTAAGAAGATATACTGAGCTGGCAATCCGTTAGTCAAGTCTGGAGTTCAGGGAGAGGTCTGGCCCAGATACGTAGAGTTGGCATTTCCAGCACCCATATGTGGTGTGAAAGCCAGGAGACGGTGGCTACCATGAGAACAAGTATAGATGGAAATGTACAAGAGGTCAGGAGATGAGGAGGAACCTGCCAAAGAGACTAGGAGGCGTGGCCAGTAAGGCAAAAGGAAAACTGGGGAGCATGTGTCCTGGACGCCAGGTGGAGAAAGTGCTTCAAGACAGGAGTGATCCTGTGTCACATGGTACTAGTAGGTCATGTAAGAAGAGAACTGAGACTTATCTGTTGACTTAATGATAGGGAGGACACTGGTGGAGAGAAATAGCATTGCTGGAGCAGTGTCCTTGGGCCAGCGAGTGAGCAGACCTGGGTTGTATCTTGAGTTACCAATGTCTGTGACTTGAGCAGGTTGCTTAACTCCTGTAAGACACTGCATCTTGAAATGTGGGTAATAATAGCTACTTTGCAAGGGTGTTTATGGGTTCAGTGAAACGAGGTAGGCAAAGCACATGGCATGGCACTCAGCAGACACTAAACGAGTGCAGCGATGACAGTCTAACCAGGAAGCCCTTTCAACCAGGAAACCTGATTCCTCTGCCAGGCCAGTGAACTCCAGGTTTGCCTCCCTCCAGGGCTCTCCATGGCGTGGAGCCATGACGTGCCACTGTGGTTCTGAGGAGCTTTTCTCTCCTCCCCAGAGCCTGAACCCCAACCTGCTGGCCGTGGTGACCGAGAGCACGGACGTACACCACGAGCGCACCTTCATCGGCATCTTCCTCGTGGACGGTGTCACTGGGCGCATCGTCCACTCCTCCGTGCAGAGGAAGGCCAAGGGCCCCGTCCACATCGTGCACTCAGAGAACTGGGTGGTGGTAAGGACTCGCAGATGAGCTCGTGTCGCCACCAGGGACACTCTGTGTGGCATTATTTGTGAATTAGGGGTACTAGCAGGAACCTCTCGTCTAGCTTTCAGCAGCATCTGGCACATAGTAAGCACTCAGATGTTACCTACTCTAATTCCGATTTCCAAGAATCTGGAGAATTCTTTGTTTCTTGTGAACTCTGGGTAGCCTAGAGATAACTACTCTGAAAGCTAGTAAACGTGTTAGCAAGGAAGAAAACTGGGGTGCTGGGTGGGCATGTAGCCAATCAGAAAGGTGTCTTCCCACGTAATTTCCCCTGCCCAGTTGGACTGGCAGCTGAGCCCCTTGCTGCCCCTCTCCTCTCTGCAGTACCAGTACTGGAATACCAAGGCCCGGCGCAACGAGTTGACCGTGCTGGAGCTCTACGAGGGCACTGAGCAATACAATGCCACCGCCTTCAGCTCCCTGGACCGTCCCCAGCTGCCCCAGGTCCTCCAGCAGTCCTACATCTTCCCCTCCTCCATCAGTGCCATGGAAGCCACCATCACGGAGCGGGGCATCACCAGCCGACACCTGCTTAGTGAGTGACCAGGGCGGAGGGGGGAGGGGGGCGGAGAGCGTCTCTGGGGGTGACTAGGTCTCTTAGGCAGCCGCACTGAAGGACAAAGTCAGTATATATTGCTGGCAGAGCCACGTTTGACCACCGAAAGGGATGGTTAGTGAGGACGGCTTTATTTCAGCAGGAAACGTTCCTCATCTGGCTTTGCCATCCATAAAAGATGACTCATTTTAATTCTCATTTCTGATGAACCACATTGTTCTGTATTTTTACTTTGCTCAGAAAGGTGAGCCCTGTGTCATTCCTAACAGCTGGCCTGTGCTGACACTGGCATGGTTCAGTCTCATCCTTATGTAGTTCTCGCTCAGGACTTAGTGATGGTTAGTAAGCTGCTGTCTAGTTGATTTTACCGAAGACATTGGGGACTCAGAGCTTGGCACTTGGTATTACTATTGTATTCTCAAATAGGAGGAGGACAGCCCCTTTTGGCAGTTTCCCGATAAGCCCCACTGTTTTTGAATCGAACAGCTCTCATGTCCCGTGTCCTCCCTGGCCTTGCTGCTGCACTGGCGCACGTGGCTTGTTTGGCTCATGGGAAGGAGACTCATTGGTTGGGGCAGGTAGTATTGGAGAGAAAGGAGGGAATGAAGAGATCTGAGAGGCCAGCCCTCTGTGCTCATCTCTCTCATCATTACCCATTTCTTTTTTTAAAAAATATATTTTTATTGATTTTTTTATAGAGAGGAAGAGAGAAGGATAGAGTTAGAAACATCGATGAGAGAGAATCATCGATCAGCTGCCTCTTGCACACCCCCTACTGGGGATGTGCCCGCAACCACGGTACATGCCCTTGACTGGAATCGAACCTGGGATCCTTCAGTCCCAAACCGGTTTCGGCCATTACCTATTTCTTGAGTCTAGAACTTTATTTCCTGATGTCTCAGGATATGTGAGGAAACCAATATTTTCAAAAGTGGGAACCTTATTCAGACACATACATATAATTAGATTATCGTTTTTGGCCATTTAGGAGCCTCATTGACACCCCCCCCCCCCTTTTTTTTTTAACTCAATATTAAGTTTCTGTGATAGTGACATTTTTGCAGCTAGCTGCAATCTGGGGTTGATTGGTGTGAACATACACTTTGACTTCTTTCTGTGCAGTTGGACTACCTTCTGGAGCCATTCTTTCCCTCCCTAAGGCCTTGCTGGATCCCCGCCGTCCTGAGATCCCAACAGAACAAAGCAGGTGAGACCCCTGTGGGCGGTGTGAAGGCTCTGACCGTAGGAACTTAACCTGCTGGTCACCTCTGGTCCTCAGCCTGGTGCACGCTGTCCTGCTGTGCTGGGACCTGGGGATGTAGCAGTGAACAAGTCTGGCAAATGCGTCTGCCCTCAAGGAGTTTACATTCTGGTTGGGGAGATGGACAGTGAATAAGTTGAAATGTTAGCTACTCGTAAATGCTGAGGAGGAAAAAAGCAGAAAGGGGACAGGGCTGTGCAGGGTTAGGGGTGTGTGTGGTTGAACTTTTGCAAGAGTGACCAGGGGAAGCCCCTCTGAAGTGGTGACTTGATTGAAGACCAGAAGGAGGAAAGAAGCTAGCCTTATGGAGGCCCGGGGGCACTTTCAGGCAGAGGGAGAAGCCAGTGCAAATGCCCTGACAGTGGTTCTCAACCTTTCTAATGCCGCGACCCTTTAATACAGTTCCTCATGTTGTAGTGACCCCGAACCATAAAATTATTTTTGTTGCTACTTCAGAACTGTAAGTTTGCAACCCTGCTAGCGGTTCTCAACCTGTGGGTCGAGACCCATAGATTGAGAACTGCTGCTGTTGAGCCTAAGACCCTCGGAAAACACAGATATTTACATTACGATTCATAACCGTAGCAAACTTACAGTTCTGAAGTAGCAACAAAAATAATTTTATGGTTGGGGGTCACCACAACATGAAGAACTGTATTAAAGGGTCGCAGCATTAGAAAGGTGGAGAACCACTTCCCTAAGATGATGTCAGTGAGTCAGAGGGAGGCTGGAAGGTCACTGGGGCTAGAGCAGCTGGTAACGGGGAGATGGAAGTGAGGTCAGGGAGGAAATGGGGGCTGGGTCTTGTGGGGAAGATAATAGCTTGCCCCTGTTAGTATGTTTTTTTTTTAAATAATTCCAGCCATGGGTTCTGCATAGTCTCGCACCCATCCTGAATTCTTTTCCCTCAGGGGTCTGCGAAACTGGGCAGCAGAAAGCACAAATCTGTTTTTGCACACAGAGGAAAGGAAGGAAGGGTATGGTTTGGAGTGAAGAGAGAGTAAGAGTGAGACTATGGGGGGGAAGGAGGGGAGGATAAAGCTGGGGAAAAGTCATGGGGCGATAACAGGGTTTCTAGAGGAGTGTAGTCAGGCACTCTGGGTTGAAGGGCAGGATTTGGCCCAGTGGCTCAGTGTTTTGGTTTGAAATGGCCTTGACTTTCCTCCCGTGGTGTGAATACTGTTGTTCGTATGTTATTTGCTTTTAGATTTAGAACAAGGTAGGAATCCAGATCTCAGTCTTAGTCTCCACGCAGCTTGCCTTCTTACAGCCTTCCTAACAGTTGCTGCTAAATTTTTAACTGCCTCGTAGACTTTGAAGGAAGATGTGAGGCTAGATATGTGTCCTGGAAAGCTCCCAGGACTCTGAAAGGGCAGCCAGGGGATCGCCTTACAGCAGTTTGAATGCCGTCCCGACTGATGTTTTGCAGAGAGGAGAATCTAATCCCGTACTCTCCAGATGTACAGATACACGCAGAGCGATTCATCAACTATAACCAGACAGTTTCTCGAATGCGAGGGATCTACACTGCTCCCTCAGGTCTGGAGTCCACTTGTTTGGTGAGTAAAGCCCACAGCCACCAGCTGTGACAGGCCTTGGGGACACAGCTGAGGGTTCCCTTTCCTTTCCCACCCGAGTTGGAGGTCGTGTGGATCACTGGCTGCCTTTCTTATCCGTTTTTCCCTCTGCCTTCCAGGTTGTGGCCTATGGCCTGGACATTTACCAAACTCGAGTCTACCCGTCCAAACAGTTCGATGTCCTGAAGGATGACTATGACTACGTGTTAATCAGCAGCGTCCTCTTTGGCCTGGTGTTTGCCACCATGATCACTAAGAGACTGGCCCAGGTGAAACTCTTGAATCGTGCCTGGCGGTAAAGGCCTAAAATCTGCTGCCCGAGAGCAGAGAGCCGAGGGAGCGAGGGTCAGCAAAGCTCCAGCTGCAGTTTGACAGGGTGATGGAGGATGTGTGGACGCTCATCCTAGCTAAGGGTTGTGAGGGAGAAGCTGGACTCGCATGGAGACTCCTTTTGGGATATGTCTGGTGCGGTCGGTGGGTGGAGGTTGAACTCTCTCTCAGCTGAGAATCTCAAAGCGTCTTGATGGACTTCCCCTGAAATCCAAAGGCCGTTGCCCTGTTTCCTCTCTCTGTCCACCTATGAATGTTTTGTGTGTTTTTTATAAGACCTCCCACAGAGCTTTCTCTCAGGCAAACCAAAAATGGATTTTGGTTTGCCTCCCGTTTCCCAGGTTAAATTAGAAATCTTTCTGTTTCCCTGCTTCTTGCTTGAGTGGGAAGGGATCTCTTACTGACCACTCCACCTTTACCTGCATTTGCTGTTTACATCGGGGAGGAAGAAGATCCATCTTTCACTAGTGTGAGCGCTGATCCAGCCTCTCGTGGCTTCCTTGCACAATGACTCCTGGTTGAGGAATCTATATGTGGGGGTCAAACTTATTTTAACGAAGCCTCTAGTTTCATATTCTCATTCAGGTTGGGCCACCTAGTCTTCGTTTCAGTTTATTAAAAGCCAGATGTGTAAATAGCATCTTGGTGTGTGGATCACTGACCAGGTCTTTCACCTAAGGTATGTGCAAGCTGAGGCCTTTTAATACTACTGAATTGTCCGAACCTTGAAGAGATTTCAGGGGAGGGAGGAGAGAGAACCCGCCTGCTTGCAGTACCTCATGATCTCTCATTTCACCCACAGCCTGGGCTAGCCATCTGATAACTTTGTTAGAGAAAGCCGTCCTGATTAAGAACCTCATTATTTATTTTTTGTATAAATTGACACATGTGAGTCACTAGATTGCTCTTAAAATGAGATTTCAAATCTTATGGATCTTTAAGAAATGGACGGGGGTGGGGGTGGGGGGAGGCAGAGGTAGGAAATTGGTATATTGTGGGTGAGGCATTGCTGATTGGCTGGGCTGTTGTCTCTGCTGCGAAATAAGATGTCCTAAAAATTTTCCCTTGTTCCCGGATTTGGGAATAATGGAGCTGTTCTTTACTGTGAAGAATGAAATGTATAGAGTAGACCTCTAGCCCTGGGTGGGGAGAGGTACATTCAAGCGTCTGAATAAAGTGAGTGAGGACTGGCACTGTTTAAGTTCTTTTTTGTGTGACTTAGGAACACTTTGAGGCTACTTTTGTATTAGAGGGGACAAAAAGCAATGCAGAAATGGTTTTTTAGAAAACTTAAAATATATTTCAGAGAGGAAGGGAGGAGAGAGAGAGAAATATCAATGATGAAAGAGAATCACTGATCAGCTGCCTCCTGAATGACCCCTACTGGGTATTGAGCCTGCAGCCGGGCATGTGCCCTGATCGGGAATCGAACCTTGACACATGCTGAAACTCAACCAATGAGCCAAACTGGCCAGGCTTCTCAGTATTTCTGAACCTTGAAGCAGCACTCAGTTTTGACCAGCTATGCTCAGCCTCTATCTGTGGCTTTTGACTCTCTGATGGGGTTTTCTCCTCCTTTTCTGTGCATCTGCTCCCTTCTCTTCATTAACTAGGTTAACTTTGGGGCCACCTGCAATGAATGTTTCACTTAAAAGGAGATTCCTTAGTATTTTGGATGTCATTATTTTTATTAGTTTGGTCAACATACATGGTCTCTTGGTGTAAAGTTGACAGCTAAATTCAATGATTTTCAGTCCCTGTTGGGAATAACGTAAAATGGCTATGGCTCTCTTTAATGTTTCCTTAGCCTTTGACTCTGAACAGTAATTAGTTATTGGCGAACGTGCATGCATTAAACACAGAATTATAGTTTTAAATTTTGGGGGAGGAGGAGAGGAGTTAAATAGTAATGTATTTTGCCCCACCCACCCTCTTACAACTGTAGCTTATTGATTTAATGCCACTTCTGCAAGAGGCTGTTACCTGCTCCCCTTCCACTGCCTCCAACAATGAAAGCTGAGCGGGCTCATATGCAGTAATACAGTTTAACACTGACCTTCAATTTGATAAGTACCAAAACAAGTTATAGAGTTAAACTTTTCTGAAACCCAAATAATTCTTGTTAGTATCCCTCCAATATTTATTTTGTTTAGTCTACAATTCTAAATTGGGAGTCGACTCATTCTGCCTTTCTCTATGGAGTAGAATTCTGGGCCTTGACTACTCTTGTGTGTGCACTGGAGCAGATGCTAAACTTTAATCATTCCTTTGGCCCTTTATTAGTCATCAATCTTTGTCAGGCTCTTTCATTTTAACGAAAGGATGTTACTCCTCTCCTCTGCTTTAAAGAATGTGAAATTATATGGCTCCATTCTTATCTTTTTAAAAAAAATTTATTTTGATTTTTTTACAGTGAGGAAGAGAGAGGGATAGAGAGTTAGAAACATCGATGAGAGAGAATCACCAATCAGCTGCCTCTTGCACACCCCCAACTGGGGATGTGCTCTCAACCAAGGTACATGCCCCTGACTGGAATTGGACCTGGGACCCTTCAGTCCACAGGCTGACGCTCTATCCCCTGAGCCAAACTGGCTTCGGCTATAGCTCCATTCTTGAGCACAAATGGAAGATACACCCCCAGGAAGTTTAATGTAGATCTTCTTGGCCAGTATCTCACCTCCTTACTAAAAAGCACTTGGTTGAAACAGACACATAGACACTGAGAGCGGACTGGTGGTTGCCAGAGGGGAGAGAGATCAAGGTGAGGAAACAGAGAAAGAATAAGTACAGATTGGTAGCTACAAAATAGTCACAGGAATTTTTTTTTTTTTAAATATATTTTATTGATTTTGTACAGATAGGAAGGGAGAGAGAGAGAGAGTTAGAAACATCGATGAGAGAGAATCATCGATCAGCTGCCTCTTGCACACCCCCTACTGGGGATATGCCCGCAACCAAGGTACATGCCCTTGACCGGAATCGAACCCGGGACCCTTCAGTCCCCAAGCCGACGCTCTTATCCATTGAGCCAAACCGGTTTCGGCTAGTCACAGGAATTTAAAGTACAGCATAGGCGACATGGTCTGTAATATTGCACTAACTACAGTGGCAACTGGGTACTGGAAATATTAAAGCGGGAACACTATGTAAAGTATATGATTATCTGATCACTATGCTGTATACCTGAAACCAATACAAAATAATATTGAAAGTAAACTAATTGAAGAATAAAAATAAAAATGATTTAAAAAAAAAAGCTCTTGGTACAGCTTACACAACCACAAATGATACACAATAAAATGAAAATTAAGGTGAAAACAGCAATGAGAGTGAAAAACACGACTCAAAGGAGTGGTTCAGACAGTGTGGTGGGTCCTCCACCCCCAGTGAATACATATAATTTGTCTTTCTTTAAGCTAAAGTCAGTCCCTAGCTTAAGGCAGACCAGCAGGAACCTAGCTGTAGTTCTAGATGGAATTTTAGGACGGCATTTTGTCATAGCCTACCCTCAGGAATGGATTTTAGAACTAGGTGCTGGATTTATTCTAGAGCTGTTAAGGATGTTGTTGATCATATGTAGAGGAACAAGGAGGAATTTCCCTATGGGCTCAGTATCAGAATAGTGTCTCTTAAATCACTCATAAATATATTTTTCCTTTGATTTTAACTAGGGCATGCATGTTGTAGAACAAAATTTTAATGCAAAAATTACTGTGGACTAGTACTAATAATCATCTGGTAGCCAGTTTAGTGTCCTTGTGTTCCAAGTTCTTTCTTAATGGAATCATGCTATTTAATTCTATTTGTTTTTTCAACTACTGCCTCTTTAACATCATGTTTTGATGAAAGAGGCCCTAAATTCTTTCTGGAACAAAATATGATAGAAATTTTAGATTTGTAATTTGACTACCCTTATAAATTGCTATTCTTTTTTTAAAGCTTATTATATAAGCTACAATGATCAGAATCATTCCAAGTCTATTTACTGACTTCTCATTTAAAATTTCGTTTTTAAGTAATGAATTATTGTTTTTCTACATTCCTTATTTGGAATGCTTTTTTCCCTTCTCAAAATATGCCTTGTCTTAAATCTAAAATCCTCCCTAAAGCCTTCCCTGTTGATTTTGACTACCCAGAACCTTCGAGTTTCCTGGCTGCTCACCACACAATTTCCCGAGTGATGTATCCCAGCATTTCATTATTTGAGTTGTTTTGTGTATCCAGAAATTGACAAGCTGTTTTCTGAATTCCCCACAATCGTAAGCATGAAGCTGCTATTTTGACTAATAGTTTACCCAATGCTAACACCTTCATAGGAGACAGGATATTTGTCTTCATTTCTTAAATTTATAGTGCCTTATGGTGACTTAGTAAGGATTTTTAAAAAAATATATTTTATTGTTTTTGTACAGAAAGGAAGGGAGAGAGAGAGCTAGAAACATCGATGAGAGAGAGTCATGGATCAACTGCTTCTTGCACACCCCCCACTGGGGATATGCCCGCAACCAAGGTACATGCCCTTGACCGGAATCGAACCCGGGTCCCTTCAGTCCCCAAGCCGACTCTCTATCCATTGAGCCAAACCAGTTTAGGCAAGAGTAAGGATTTCTTATATTGAAATGCCAAGAGGTAGTCCTTTTCTGGTATGCCCTGGAGCACAGGCTCTGGCAAACCCTATTATGCTACATTAAAAAAATGCTCACAAGATCAACATGGTAAATGAGCTTAGTGGTACCATAATTTCTATCTTAAAGAAAAAGGAAATCTCAGTATTATATTTATGTGTACTTATATAAACAAAATAAAGAGAACTGTGATTCCTTAGACTCAAAGTCCAAATAGGCTTTGAAAAACAATCTACACTGATAAAATAGAAATGTGAAAATTGATCATACCTCCACAATACCCACCAGCTCATCAGGAGTATGAAAATTAACGCACAAAGATGGCGGGTTAATTTGCATACACC